GTGGTGTTCCAACAGTGTACACGGCCCCAGCAAACAAACCGACTCCAACAATGCCGCCATTGCAAAGCAGCGATACAACGACGTCTTTGGCTTCCTCATCCATACGTCCATCTGTTTCCGATACCACAAGTCCCGCCATCGACGCCACATCACCCACAGCTGCCACCACTGCATCCGTGGACTCCGAGACGAGCAGCTCAACCCTAGGCACCGGGGCTATTGCTGGCATTGCTGTCTCCTCCGCCTTTATCACAGGATTAGCCTTGTTCGTCGCCTTCATACTACTCCGACGCCGTCGCTCCCGACTTGGTCCGGTGCTCAACACCCATGGGACTGAGACTTATGACCACGAACAGACTGGTCCTGCAGAATTGCCCGACGAGAAACACAACCTTATAAATCCTCACACCCCGTCCACAGCCTCGGACGCAGGACAGGGCCGGCCAGTCTCGGACATGACTCTGAGCATGATTTCTCCCAGTCCGCTCAGTACGCCGAGAACTCCAGGCTCGCCGTATTACTACCACGGCGTCGGCCAAGCCCCTTCTGAGTTGGCGGATCAGCCGAGGGCTATCCACGAGATGCCGGCCATCAATGAACGGGTTGAAATGCCTTGATATATAGCATAGTGCTGCTAAGGTATCCCAGTCGTGGTTGGGGGAAGGGTTCGGTATCGCCGTTAGACTTTAGGACTCAGATACATACACATGTTTAGAGGAGACTTCACAATAACGGACTGATATGGTTGTCCCTCTGCGCGCCCCTTTGCTCAATCGCCTTTGGGCTATTGGCTCATCATTGGATACGAATGCTACGTGTTTACCAATAAGTGCTCGACGAGCTCACCTCACGAGAACGAGGCGCTATGTATTACTGAGGACGAAGATCACATCAAGGCGATGACATTACACGGAATCCACCCCCCCCCACCCCACTCCCCCTGCATTCAAAGGGAAAGTGCTTTTGAGCAGTATTGAAAACTCGATAATGTTGACGTTCACTAATACTAAAGTACACTTTTTTTGAATTCGTGTTGCGTCAAACACCATCTTATCAGGCGATTGACCGGTAGGTCCTTATACAGTCCTCGGCGTCCTTTCCATCGTTCTTACACTCGGGCTTGCAGAAATCATGCCAGTCGTAGCCATACTGTCCCCAACAAATGGGAGCACCCCAAAACTTGGCGGGATCCAGCATACGACACTGCGGATAGACACAGATCAGCAGCAATCCCGGTTTCCCACGAGGGAGTTGAAGGGGGTGCAAGGAGATTCATACCGTAAGCTCACCCGCCCACGGGCCGCTTTCACCCACCAGACTTATGGTGACTTTGTCTTTGGGAAGGGATTTGTTCTTCATCCAAATACAGGCCTCTTTGGATCGGATAGTATGGAATGACCATGACTCGCAGATGCAGTGGAAAAAGTCTGCGTTGACGGAGGCGATCCAGGTGCTTGTAGAGAATGAGCATCGATATCTGTGAGCTATGTAGATGAGGTTGGAGACTTACTTGAGGAGAACTAGGGAGAGAACCTGGAGCTTCATTGTTGTTTAGAAACGTCTGTATTATCAGTGAAAGCTCTGGCGTGCTCGTGGTCTAAGGTATTGAATGAGTTCCACTTAGTGACAAAATCAAGAATTAATTTGGGGGATGGGCAGGAGTCACATTTTTATACCAAAGCCACGTTGGCCTCACTTAAATCAAAAACACCGTTGTGGCTGCAATCTCGCCATCACGGTTCCAGCCATCCATTTTACGAACCTCGATAGGAACATCAGCATGCCAGCCAACTCTCCCTCATGGAACACCTCTATGAACATATATCGGTTCAACTACTAGGTGGGCACTACCGCCAGCACATTGCTTGACTTGATTTCCGCACTCGTGGCTCTCGAAACCCCCTTCTAGATTTCGTCGATCGAAAGGCACCCACTCGCCTACCCAGGCCCTTGACTCCTAAGACGGTTTGAAGGCCGGCCGCGCGGGTGTGGGGAAAGTGGTTCCGGCCCCGCAGTGCCGACCGGAACTAAGGCAAGGCAATCTGGAGAGTGGGCCACCGATTGGATTAGTGGCTAAAGTCTTTCACGAACAGGTACTCCGTATTGCCTGTGGAGCCGTAAGCCGGGTGATCGGTCAGGTACCTTTCAGTTAAAGTTGGACTCTATGGCCTGGGTGGGCAGGTAGGTCTGCCCGTATCTCCGCTACAGGCGCCTGTGCTGGTCAGTTTTTCAAGTTACCTATGTTTATAGCGGTGGGCTATCCGGGTACAGTACCTTCGTCACTGTGCACTTCTTGGGTAGTACATGCAAAACCAACACACAATGGAACTAAATGGGGCCTAATAGACGTCCTGTACCAGTCCCATGGAAGTTCAAGGCCTTCAATGTCCACCGGTGATGTGCGAATAGTCAACGCCTACAATCCCAATCCTCCTGACCCTGGCCTCAATATCGACGACTTGCTCAAGCTTGTGACTTTGAACAAGGAAGTCCTGCTCTGCGGCGATTTCAATCTCACTCACCCACGCAGGAGCGGTGTTCGATGTGTAAGTCCCAATACAAAGGCAAGACAGTTGTGCGAAGGCACCGAGGCGGCGGGAATGAGGTGCATGCTCACGCCTGGAACCATCACGTACACTCGGGGGGACCCGGCCGCTGTCCCCAACACACCCAGTTCCACAATCGACTTGGTTTTCGCAGGGAGAGCGCTCATTCTTCGGGTGATCAGCTGCGATGTAGTTGAGGTCCGAGGTTTCGAGTCCGACCACCGCGTGCTACGAACGGTGATCAACTCGCAGCTACACCCAGAAGACGGCACCCGCAAGCTCTGGAAAAACGTCCAAACCAGAAAGTTTCGTCAAGATGCTAGAGAGAGGCTCGGCGCTCTCGGCTTGCCGCCTCTCCACTCGCCCGCAGCCCTCGAGGAGTTTATCGACGCCGTCACGGAAGCGATGCAGGCGAGCATCGCGAAATTCGTTCCGATCCTTACGCCGCCAAGTATCACCGGTCCTGTCCGCAAGTTCGAGGAGAGTATCCACGCCAGTCTCAAACTTGAAGAAGCAGCTCGGCGCAACTGCACCCTACAAAACAACGACGACAAGCTCTATAACAAGTGGCAATTCCTTCGGCGACAAACGGACAGACTCGTCAAGCAAATCTCGAAAATGTCTTACCGCGATTTCGTTGAATCCAGCACAAAGATTATGGCAGGAACCTACAGCTTGGCTCAGGTAGGCGCCCGTTGGGACTTGGCACAACCACGGGTTCACATGCCTGATCTCAAGGACCCAGTGACCCACGAAGTCTGCAGCACCCCCCAGGACAAGGTCCGTTGTCTCACCAATTCGATCTGGCCCAAGACCAGCACCGGACCAACGGCACCAGCACAAAACTGTCCACGACTCGATCCCACTCGAATACAATATTCCTCTCCACAGCAACTCGACATGGGAGAGATTTGTGAGCTGATCTCCGGTATCCCTAGCGGAAAGGCCGAAGGACCGGACGGGATTGCTGGTGAGGCTCTCAAGATGCTGCATGTTTCAAGAGATGAGAAAGAAACCGAGAGCGAGAAGGAAAGCATCATCGCCCCGATTCTTGAACATATCATCAACGCCTGTTTTCTCTTATCGCATCATCCAGCCCAGTTCAAACGATCTAGGACCGTCATAGTCGAAAAAGCGGACAAACCGACGTACGACACACCGAAGAGCTGGCGTCCTCTCGCCTTGTTATCTTGCATGGGCAAGGTTGTAGAGAAGGCCATGTCGAATCGCCTGACGATACTTTCCCTTGAGCACAGCCTTGTCCCTTACAATCAGTTCGGATTCGCACGACGGTCTACGACAGAAGCGCTCGAGTTGATTCTGAATCGCGTCTACCGATGCTGGAACGCCAGCCCACGCATGTTTGTAACGCTCATGACCATTGACATGACTGGCGCGTTCGATCATGTCGATCGCGAGGTTCTCCTGAAGATCTTGGTTCGGAAAGGTGTCCCTGACTGGATGGTTCTGTACATCTCTTCATTTCTCTCTGATCGACGCGTTGCCCTGTCTATTCCAGGATACACATCAGAGGAGTTCTGGGTCAACATTGGCATTCCCCAAGGTAGTCCTCTTTCGCCTGTCCTCTTCGCCTTGTTCTCCTCTCTTATACTGGACGAACTCAACAAGATCTGGCCGTCGAGTCCGTTTTTCCAAGCCATGTCGTATGTTGACGACACTTGCATGGTGGTAACCTCACACTCCTACGAGGAAAACTGCAAGATTTTGACAACGGCCTTTACCGACCTGATTGCCGCTACCGCTCCTTATGGCATTTCCTTTGGCCCTTCCAAGACACATATCATGCATTTTCAGAACCCGCACAAGGAGACTCAGGGGACAAACTCGAGAACTGCCAATGAACCTGAACCACCCAGAATCATACCATTGGCAGATCTACCAGACGTTGGTGTGGAAGAGGCAAAGAAGGAGGAGGTGATCAAGCTTCTTGGGGTTTACTTGGGCCAATCTTTGACATGGGCCACGCATGTAAAGAAAGTGAGTACATGCTGACAAGCTCAATGCAGCTGGGTACGCCGCTGACAACGTGGGGGACAGATTACCGAGAAGATGGAAGCCAAGATGCGCACCATCTATCGTATTTCCGGTTCGACATGGGGGCCCTCTCTCGCCAGCATCAGACGCCTGTACATCACAAGTGTCCGCCCGATCGCCGCATACGCCGCTCCCGTCTGGTTCCTTTATCGAGACAATGAACGCAGGGTTCGCTGGCAGATCAGCGCCAATTTGGTCATGAAGCTTGACAAGGCACAGGCGGCGTGTCTCCGACAGGTTGCCGGCGCTTACCAGACCACAGCGACCCCGGTCGTCCACTAGGAGCTTGATGTCCCGCCGCTTTCTCTGTTCCTTGAGAAGCTCGGCCAAAAACATCGCACTCGCAATCTTGACACCCGGGAATACGCTCGTCTCACTACCGTGTGGGCAACTGATAACATGCCGAAGGCCCTAAGCGCAGCGAACAACATAGCACACCCATACCGCATCCTCTACAAAGTCACGGCCGCTTCTATTGATTTCGCGGCCCGGAAGCAACTCATCGAAATCAACGAGGAGCGAGCTACGAAAACAGAACGGCGCGGTTTTCCGCTACCGAAGTTAAGGTGGCGGAACTTCCTTGACCGACAGCAAGTGCGGAGCAAAGTCATCAACGACAAACTTCAGGAGGCATGCACGCGGTACTGGCAGAATTACCTCGACGATCGCGAAGACCGAAGGAAGAATCAGACCGACCCAAACTTTCGCATCGCCAACCACCGTCCTCTTTCCCTCTCGGAAAAATGGGGCCCAGCCAGCTTGAAATACTATGCCGAGCTCACGCGTGCTGAGAGCACCATCCTGTTCCACTGTAGAACCGGTGTCGTGGGACTCAAGTCTTACCTTTTCTCCATCAAGGTTCGTTCATTCCCTTCGCCTTTGCCGGTCTCCGCCCTTGGCTGACCCTTCTGTCTCCACCAGGTTCGCGACATCGTCGACGACCTCTGCCCGTGCAAGCAGGGCAAGCACACCGTTGAGCATGTCTTCATCCACTGTCCTGCTTTGTTAGCTGAGCGGACACGGCTCTATCTGCAAGTCGATCACCATAATTTGAAGAAGTTGCTCACGTGTGATTCCAAGGCCGCTGCCGCGTGGGCCATCCGCTACCTATCCATTGAACAATTTGGCTGGACTGGGAGGCAAACACCCGACAAGATCTTCCAAAACAGAGATGGAGCGTGATGGAGTGCCTAGTGCCTCTGCCTCGGAGACTGGGACGGGGGAGACCAGGGGAGGACAGCCTTCAGTGGAACTGCAGGTCATGGTTTGCTTGGTCCTCGGGTACTACAATGCATAGTTTGCCCATCCATCATCACTACAGAAATCCTTGTTAGCCTATATAGTGATGAATACACACTTTATCATCTACCCTTTGGGGTCCAGCCCGCCTCATCGGGGGCCATCTTCGCCTTCACGGGCAAATTGGTCTACTAGGGTGAATATCGTGTATTACTGAGTAACAAACTTCATAACTGACTACAGCCGGCCGCAGCCGTCACCGAGTAGGTCAGATTCACCGCCGGGAACCACATACCACATGGTTATGCTAATGCGGCAAGCAGCTGTCAAGATGCTGTATGCAATCATACAATTTACTCTCGTTACACGTTACAGGACAGGGAGCTGACAAGTTTATCAGAATGACCCCGCCGCAACACATTAATCGCCTTCCTAACAGCCGAATACCACCCCTTACTTTCTCCCTTTATCTTATCTAACAACAACCTCTCCCTAATATTCCCATTTAACACGCTCAACTGCGCTCTTTCTAAGCTCCCAATCATACCATCAAGTCTAGGCTTATTCACACCACTCTGCTGCATCAGCAGGGCGCCAATGAGTGCGACGCGTATGTAAATTTCTGCTCAGGGTGCTGTAGGATTTTAACTAATGCCAAATCACCAGCTATCATGATGTATCTGTCCGTCTTCCGCAAGTCGACATTGCGGATGTGGTATCTGTTGAGGCGGTCTCTCCACAGCTCGGGGTCGTCTAGTATGATGCTCGTGGGATCGAACTTCTGGGTACGTGTTCTGGGGAAGACGCACATGCATTCTCTGACTGTATCTCTTTAGCCATCGAGGAAGCCCCAAGGGCCGACGAGTTGTTGGCGTCTCGGCATTTCGACAAAGTGTGCTTGAGGTAGGAACACACCTGACATGCCGTTTTCTTATGTTTGTGCTCTTGTTCAATGGCCTTGATGAACCGCTCCAAGCTTGATCAGGGGGCGATGTATCGGGTGCTATGCGAGCGAGTATTCTGTATTGGAAAGCAATGAATAGATTGATTTGAGCTTTTGGCCGCGAACTGATCACTTCAGAGTAGGTAGACGATTCGACAGCGACAGCGACAGCGACAGCGACAGACGGCGAGGGAAGGTGTGTTACACACATACATGAGCACGTGCCATGGCAAGTTGGTTACTGACTTATTCCAGCAGCGTTTTTCGACTTCAACAAAAGAAACGAGGTAACGAATGTGTGGTGTGTGTGTGTGAGTTGACGTGTGTAAGTTTGTCGTCGAAGCCATCCAAACAGTCTTTGACCATTACTTGTGTTGACGGGCTCCGTTATTAGGGCAGACATCAGTGGTGAGAGCGAGATCACGACCCGACAGCGTCATTGACGGCCCGTAGCTAACACCGCCATGGCTTGCAGAGGTCGGCATCATTCTTGACGACGGCGACGAGGGCATCTCCGATGCCACACCATTGTGAGCTGCCGTCACCTGGAGTACGTTTATCCTCACAGCCTGTGGTTCTTAAGAAGTTCTATATTTTGTAGAGAAAGCTGACATCTTCTAATAGAGGGCAGCGAACTCAGCCAGGTGCGCGGGTATGTCAACGTCTGGATGTGAGGAGTCTCAGTAGCCCAAGATGCTAACACATGACAAGCAGGCTCACAAGGTGGTGGCGTCGCGCGCCCAACATCGCCGTCGATTGACGTAAGTGTCCTGTATATCCATCTCATTTGACATGGAATTTTTCACGTGTAACTCCGGTAATCCTTCATGAATCAAATGCTAAAACCCACTCGACATCCAGCCGTGGTTGTGAACTTTGCAGGAGGGAAAGTTGAATAGGTGGAAAATCCAAAAAAAAAAAAAAAATAGTCTATTGAGACAGTGGGAGTGTCCACTGATACTGTGTATTAATACTGTGTAAAGGATATCGAGAACCGCCCGAGCGATGAGTAAAGGCAGAATAACCAAAACAAATAAAACTGGGCGATACTCCGTCCTTAAAAAACTTGTTCTGACCGTCTCTCATGCGTGATGTAATACAATCATGCCGCTTTTCCAGGCCTCTCTGACACATGAAATGGTGAGTCTGCGTTTCCTTTCCGTTCAGTCCGTACATCCGTTCTTGACTTTCAGCCACCCGTGCTGTGCCACCTCGTCGATCTAGTCACAGTTCAGCCACATCACGTATCGGAGAAAGCTGCAGATGCGGACACCTTGACCAACCTGCTCACTCAGTTCTATATCTACTTAGCCTGCCTGCACATCAAAGACTTCTATCAAGACCAAACTGCCTTCAACTTCTGTTCTTCTACATACCTCATTATTTTGCACAGTCACCCCCACTGACACACTCACTCGCACACATTCGCTCACGCACACAATGGCTTTATTTGCCAATCCACGCATTTGCGATACGCAGGGCGGTTTGGTTTTCTTCAAATTTCCGAATGAGTTGCGCAACTTAATCTACAAACACTATCTTCAGCTCGACGAGGGCTACAAGCTTAATCCGCAAACCAATAAGCTTCGAACCGGCAACGACAAACCTATCTCTCTCGACTTGATCTACACCTGCAAGCGCGCTGCCTTGGAGATGCGAGGGTTACCCTTTCAGGATAATATCATCACCTTCTCCGCGTTCTGCCCTCAGTCGCAACAAGGTCGCTTCAATGCTGGTCACTTCAGCAACATGACGCGCATGATGGAATGCGAACTACGGGCACTCTTCCACTACAGTCTTGATCCCAGCTTCTTCCCCCGTCAAGTGGTTAACGAAGTTTCAGACGCGTATCCAGCTTTCGCCCCCCTTTTACACGCGATGAAGGGAGAAGAGTGGCAAAGTTTGGATATTCATCCTCCTTACGGCATGACTCCGTCGACTTTTCGCAACTTTGTCCGCTTCACTCTAAATACGATCAAATCCCACCGATGCCTATTTGACAACCGCAAATATGAACAGATCATCGATCGGCGTCGGCAGTGTCTTGAGGATGGACGTTATCTCGAGCGGGGAAATATTCCACTGAGCCAACTTTTTGGGCTCAGACCTCAGAACTGGACAATTCCTACCCAAAAAGATGTCAATGACATGACTATCCTCTCTGACGGGCTCGAGACTTGCGCCGTATTTTGCGACGATCTTTACGATAAGCCCGAGCCGCCCGTGGATCTAACCAGATTTTGTTACTCAGCAGTTGTCGGCGCCATTCAGTTTCTAGATTCGATGCCCCCATCGTCTCGCGCCGATATTCGCCGCATCAACCTCATAGAAGATCGACCGTCACTATCTTACCCGGAATGCCACGGTTTGGGGTTGATACGGTTCTGCCAAGAGAATCCGCTATTACGCATCGAGCGTCACGTCTCCTTATGGGATACTATATTCCAGGGCGATCCCATGAGTATGGAACCTGGAGAGGAGGAGCTGCCCCGGAGGGAGAAGAAGACAGACGAGATATCTTATTCTCTAGCCACCTGGATGGTAGAGGCCTTGGCTTTACCTGCAGCTGGTATGCCTCAGGATGCGTACAAGTTGATGTTCGTTGGAGGTTCAGAGGGAGACTGGGAGTGTGAGCAAATCTTCCGCAAGGTCGTCCTACGAGACGCCGCGTGGCAGGAGGCAAGGGACGAATGCTTCAAACGAGGTATTCTACCACCGCTCTCTTGGGCGGAGAGGAGGGCTGGAGCCTGGGGAGGGTCTTACGATGATGATGCATTCACAGGCTCGAACCCCCTTAGTCGTTGCTTTCTATTCGAAGACTTTCCGCGGGCGGTACATGAACTTCTCAATGGAAGCTCGCTCACCACCTGTAACTTCAATCCAGGCGAAGCTTGGAATCTCGAGAAGATCATTGAAAAACGGCGATCATGGTCTTTACGCAAGTGGAACCGCAAATGGTCGCGGGGGAAACAGTCGTACAGAAGAGGCCTCGGCCCTCACGACGCCTCAGATTGACCGCCTTGTGAAGATCAGATGGCAAATGTCGACGATTCTCATCGTACAAGAGATAGGAGTCGAGAAGTGGAACTCCCAGCCAGGATGAACAGAATTTATTGCAAGACTTGTCTCCGTCGCAAGATGGGCAGTGCTCTACTATATACCTAGCTCTGAGTAGAGATCAGGCCTCGTTCAATCAAATATGCATAGACTTGCGGTTGTTCCTCTAGACATTCTCCCAGAAGATCCTCATCGCTCCTATCAAATGTGGCACCGTGGTCAATGAGTATTCGGACCGTACCAACGCTCCCGTGAACCAAAGCAATCGACAAAGGTCCCTGCCCCCCATTTTCCAAGGCAGACACGTCACTTCCGTGTTGTAAAAGGGCTCGGATCGTTTCTTCAAACTGTGCTCCGTAGGCTGCAACATGCAAGGGCGTTTGCATCATCCTGTCTAGCCCCTCCACATCCGCACCGAGCCGAACAAGTTCATCCACAACAGTCTTCCCTGCTCCCAAATGGGCGGCGAGATGAAGCGCCGAATACCCTTTCGGGTAGACATTCCAGCGCTCCTCAACAGCTTCAAGCTCGTCGTAGCTTGATTCCTCGTTAAACTCCCAGGCTTCGGCTGCTTGCAAATAGGAATCGATTGGAGCAGCCTTGGAAGAGAATTGTAAGAAAGCCGTAGAAATGCTTTCCACGTCAACATCAGCCATCAATAGGCTCAAGTTTCGTGCGGTGAACGATAGCAGCGGATGTTCTTTGAAGCGGCGTTCAAGTGCTGGAGATGATCCACACGCGCCGGCTGTGAACTCTTGTTTCGACAAATATCGCAGGAGTATGCTGGCAATTGTGTCCGTTGGGCAGTGTGTCGCACGTCTTTCATCGAGATGCTCTGCTAGAAGAGGAGACTTGATGCCCCATACCTGTGTTTGCTCACTGACAAAGACAAAGTCTGAGCACATGCGGGCAAGATCCTCCGTCGTTACTGGCAAGGCACCTGCAAGCGACTGATCGCTCATACGCAATGCATCCAAGATAGCCTCGCCATTCAAATGGTGTCTAGTCTTCTCGGCCGCGATGAGGAGATAGAGAATCGTCATGATTAGGTCCCCGTGTGCAGACTGAGTGATGCTAGTTACGGCGAGCTCGCAAAAAGCGATGCCCCTCTGCAAAGTATTCGCCTGAGAGAGTTCCTGAGAAACGGCCTTCAAAACGCCGAGACCCGTTGGAGTTGCTGAATGGTGTAAGTCTTGACTAGATATGGGCATGAAACTTGATAGCGTTAATCATCAGCAAATGCCAGACAGGTTGCGGTCATGAATATGTGCGCGGACGTACCGGTGGTCGAAAAGCCCAGCCCATTGCGTCAACGTCTGTGCCAGCTCAGATTTGGATAGCGCTCCAGCCTGTACATCGTGGTTGCTCTGAAAAGACTGATGGAGGTATTGAATCAGATCCTCCTGACTTGCACGTACCTCTAGGCTTGCTCCTTGAAACCTTTGAAGGACCTCCTCAAAGGGCTTTGAGCGGCTCAACAGAACAATCTTGATGGGCGACTCTTTGTCCGAGAGACGAAGCTTGGCCACAAAGTCGTGAAACGCTGCGGGATTTGGATCGTCTAGACCGTCTAAGACGATGTAGATCTTTTCAAAATATGCTTCGAGTTCGGCCCAGATTACCTGGAAGTTGTCTAACCACCACGTGAACACATTTACTGGTGCAGAGATGAGTCGTTTGAGGGTCTACGACTCGGGCAGTTGGCATACAATCTGTCTGGCAATGGAAGTGATCGCAGCCCCGAAGTCTACCAATGAGTGATAGAGCCCTTTGTTTTCGAATTGTACACAAGCGACGGCCAACTTCATGCTGGAATCGAGCTGGGTGGCCGAAAGGTGTTCGACGAGGAGCGAACTGTGGGAAATGAATCGTCAGGTCCGCCAGAGGCAAGAGTCTGAGCGACATACCTTATGCAACTCTTTCCGGTCGATGCTGGTGTGCAATTAGCCACTGAACAATAGTGCTGAATGCGTATTCCCATCAATGTGGAATTAAGTCTTGCGTACCGGCACCATGAACCCAGAGAAACTGCGGGCTCTGAGACCTCGCCCAATGTTGTACTTGTGGGTTTTGTAAAAACCATTCTCCAATGGTCCCTACACGTCGAGCAGCAGTTTCTTGAAACTTCCTTGACGAGCGATCACCTAGGCTGAGTCTCTCCAGGAGGAGGCTTTTTTGGCGGGTGAAATCCATTTTGGGTGGTTCCAGGAGACGGTTTCAATGCTGATGTGTAATGATGCCAGTCAATGACATCAGTGCGAGCTTTTATATTTTAGATATTGGGAAGATACAAGGAATCAGGCTTCCATGCGGAAACATCAAATTGCCGACCATCCATCTGCGAAATACGTGAATGTGTACATGATGTCAGGAAGGATACAATATACGCTAAGATGTTGCTGCCTACCCTAGCCAAATTGGCATGGATTAGCCTGGACACAGGCCAATTTATAACCACTACATTTCTACCGGATTGTCTCCATTTTCCGCAACATATCGATGCTCATCTGACAATAGCCTTCGAGAACCGGCTTCTTATAGTTCAACAAGCCTGGCCATTCATTGTATTGTTGTCAAACCTTCCACAGGTTAAACCTTTTGTGAACATTCACGGATACCCATCAAAGTATGTAACGGTCAAAGTCAAATGCCGATTCGGCCTGGCCGGCGGCGAGACCAGCTGCCTTGAGCGCACTCCAGTTCACATCATTAATACCCACTTCATAATCCCACCCGTGGTGAGGGTCAGGGTTGGGCAAGATCTGCCAGTAGAACCACGGAATCCCGGCAGCGTCGATACTCGCAGCCCAAGTGCGAATGTTGGAGTCTCTGGTTCCTGTACCAATGGGACTGCCGCCGTTGCAGTTGTGGTTCGGAGCATCCGTATAGCAAGCGCCCCATTCTTGCATGATGAGCTTCTTCCCGGCATTCTTTGCCTTGGTGACGTAGGGCTGAAGCTTTGACGTGGCGAAATCGTCGACTCCGTATGCGTGGATGGCAAGGACGTCCAGGGCGCTGCAGCTGAAGTAGGGGTCTAGCAGAGAGTTGTCGACGTAGGCACCGCCTCCGGTAGTAACCAGAATATCGGTACTCCCGTTGAGGCCTTGCTTAATTGCCTGTGCCATCGTGCACTGCCATGACGCTAGGGCGGACGGGTTCCCCTGGATGCGTCGTCAGTTTGATCACGTCGCCCGTGTTTGAGGGATTGTGTCTCACTTGTGGATGCATAGCTTCGTTTTGCGCCTCAAAGGCAAAGATGTACTCTGGGCTTTGGGCCCAGGTCTTGCCATTTCTGGGGTTCACATGTCCAAGAACATGAGCGATGCGAGTCTTGAAGTGTCCGATTGCCTCGTTATTGGTGTAGAAGTCGCCAGTGCCATACCACTTCCCATAAAAGTCAGAGTTTGCTTCGAGAGCGTTGTAACTATGGATGGAAACAAGTAGTTTGATGCCGTAATCGTGGGCATGAACCATGAAGTTATCAAGGCGGTTGAGCACAGTGTCGTCCCACGCATCAGGACCGTCACCCTGGAGGCTGTTGAAGTTGTCCAGAGTTGTGCCCTTTTCGCTTCCCGATTGGCCTACAACAGAGAACAAATCAGTAGGCATAGCTTTTGTGGTTAGGCTGGAGCTTTCCTACCGTCAAGCCATACTCGAAGGACTTTGACGCCAGCGCTCTGGAGGCCCTGGAAAAGGGTGGTCTGTTGCTGGGTATTTAGACCAGCAGCATAATAGAGATTCGAGGCGGAGAATGACTTGGCTGCATAGCAAGTGGCTGAGAGGGACAAATGGAACAAAGCCGGTATGACTGTGTAAAGCTTCATTTCGAAATTCAGATCCAATTGAAAAGGTTAAGCTAAAACTTAGGGTTGAGTACTTAGCTCGAGAAGGAAGAAAGTTTTGAGCTCCGAAGCTTTTTAAAGTTCCGAAGACGTCGGCCATGAGTTCGCCAAGGAGCAGAGAGTGGAAACCATGGAGGGGAGTTCACGCCTAGTTCATCTTCTGTTCGAGCTACCACCTCGGTTTGATTGTCTACAAAGTATGGAGCTAAGTCAGCTCGCGTGACACGGGCATATAGCGGAGGTATCAAGGCCCGCTTGTCTTTGACATTCGCATACTCTCGTTCAATTAGGGGCGTAGGATTTTGCTGAGGGGCTTGGATCTGCGTAGTGTCAGCTAGAGAGGCAACCATGTAAACACCTTCCCAAATCTTCTTACGGTATTGTATACTTCCGACCATGGTGCGCCAGCCACAACACGTAGACGGTTTCTGGAAATTGTTCAAATTACAGAGAGTTACATGCCGTGCGGGATAGTCCACTAAACAGATTGCTACGCATCTACAACTGGCTCGTCGAGTCTCCTAGCGAGTATTTGCAACTCGTATAGGGGTATCCATCTGATCCAACCTTCCGTTCTCATTATGTCTCTCATCGCTGAGCCTCCATCTGTCCGTATGCCTTCTTGGAGCTCCTGTCCCATGAGAGATTTTGCCAATGTGGACTGGAGCGAACTTGGACGACCTCTCCAGCGAATCGGTTTTCTTATACAGCCCAAGCGCCTAAAGCATAGTGTGTCAGAACAGTTTCCGATGACCTCTATGTCTCTTGGTGTAAGTAGGGGCTCGGTAAGCAGTAGACTTGGCTGTGAGGAAAGCCTTAATTCATCAATTCACCCATGTTTACTGCTTCGGAACGGGTAGGCCTCAGCATTGTCCATCTCTCTGTCTCCTAATTGCATATATATCAATATAGACCATTCCTGGAGAGACCTGGGACCTGATGACCACTATGAGTATTTAGCCACAAACTCAGCCACATCTACCCCTGTGTAGCGACTGGCCAAGGAAGAAATGAAGCAATGCAAGTTCCGACAGATTTGATGATACAAGTAAACGACAAATCTTATCCAGATGAGCGAGCAGGTTGCCTTTAGAAGGCTTTGGAATGGTTGGGCCTAAAGCATGCATTCCATCATCTGAGTTTTCAAGTAAATTCTTTCTCCCTTGAGCGTCCTCATAAAGATGGTGTGTTTTTCGACTGATCTACTTACCTGATCAGGCAAGGATACTTGCTTATTTGAAGCCTGAGGTAGCCTGCAGGACATCGTTCAAACTGATGAAGACAACGAAGTTGAGTCCCGGGCGAAGGCCTGTCTGGAAAATGTTACTCAAAACCGTTTCCCGTAACCTCAATCAACTGATTACCCTTTTACGTAGATCAAGTCCCCGCCAGGATGAAGGGACCTCATCTGAAATTCAGGCTCTACTGATGTATTACCGCTTTATGCAGTATGAAGGTAGCGACTTCGGCACCTTGTGGCATCCTTGACCGCTACATGTGCATCCGTCACGTAGCTGGTGTTCAGTCGACAGTAATTCGGCTGCGTACAGGCCCTCACCGCCGAAGAGAACTCGAGACGTACAAGCTTCATTACGAAACAACAAACACTGGACCCCGCCCTTTCTTGGTGTATTGATTGTGCATGTGTGACCATGAGCAAAACCCAGAAATTGGAGGCTTAATTGAGACCAAGGCAGATCTTCCTAATATAACTCAAGTCCCGATCCCTTCTTTCGTAGCGTTCCTAACTATTGACGTAATTACGCGAATCTTACACACCTGGCTGTGCCCCAGATTCGAAATGTTCCGCCCGTGGCCTAACCAGCCCCAACCAGACTTCAACTGGTTTCCATTCAATAACGCAGCTGGCAACAGACTTAACGTCAACTTCAACAACTTCGGGCCCTACCCACGCGGCCCTGCCACTCCAGCCTTTGCGAACCCAGGTCCCCGCCTCTTCGACTTCTCGCAACTCTTCAACATCACCAACAACAACTTCGGCCCCGCACCCCTGCGCCCCAGCCAGCCAGGCCGGATTCGCAACCGAGTCACAGTCCTCCTCCCCGATGGCTCGCGGGTTCTACTCGAGCGCGACCTGCTCCATGAACACCTCCCCCGAACCCGAAACTTCATGCAGCAGGGTCTCTTCCCCGTCCCAGAGTTCCTCCGAGGCTACGATGATGGCTTCATGGGAACCCTGATGGAACCCCAGAATTTCGACCAAGCCTTCGCCCGCGGCGCGACATTCATCTTCCGACACCTCGAAGGCCTCAGTCAGGCATGCGCGCCGTCGTACGGGGCCGCGGGCGCGGGTATGGGCGTGGGCACTGGCAGCCGCAGCGGCGCTGCCTTTGACCTGTTCGCCCGGCCGCGTTACCTCCTCGCGAACGCCCGCGATCAATTTGTGACGGTACGGGAGATATTCTGGCACATCTTCATACTGTGTTGTGTGCTAGACCAGGACCGTGCCTTTGGATGCTCCGATTTGCTGGCAAGACCAATTGCAGAGTTCCTCCTCGACTTTCTGCCGAGCGTGGAGGCATTTCTGCCTCCAACCGCGATGCAGATTCTGTTTGTGGGATACGCTCGCATCTTTCGCGAATCGATATTCGAGATGGAGGTGTTGAGACAGATGTGGGAGGCGATGGATGCTATGGGCCAGACACACATCAGGGGAATGATGGGACCGCAGTTGGCGGCGAATGGAATGGGAAATAATGTGCAGAGAGTTTGGACTGCTCTGAGACATCTTGGTCTGGTGTAACCTTCTTCTCTGATGTTCTTTCCATTGCCAGATATCTTATTCCAATTCGCTCTCCTGATAGTTTCTTGTCCAACTCTGGTGTATGGCCATCTCATCTCAATTCATTTGTCTTTTGAACTTGGGCCAGCCAAAGAAGCTGCTTTACCTGCTGTTCTAGATAGCGATCCCACGACTAAGCCTGCTAAGCGGTTTCGGTGCTCATACCCAAGCTCCCCCCTATGTAGTTGTCCAAGAAAGTGAAATCCAAGCTATCTAGTGCCCAACTTTCCTCGCATGGGCACTGTACCAGATTCTGCAGTTCCTGATCTCCAGGAAGCGGAACAACGGTGTCTTGTCTTCCGGTTGAGCACGGAACCTCATCTTGAGAACAACGATGGTACAGAGATTGCAAATTCGATCCGATCGGTATCGACATCCCGTCATGTAACTTTTCAACCCTGATGACCCAAAAGTGCGGGAGACAGATGTTCAGGACAGTATCTTGATCCGTCAGCTTCACCCGGTATCCGAGATCGTCATCCACGGATGTTTCTGGCGAAAATGCAACCTTGTATCTCTCTCCCAACGTCATATCGTCCTGGATGTGCAATAGATGTTTGAGAAGCGTAGCCACTCTTGTAGCAATCTCATCGTTGTACTGGTCCACAAGTTTCTGCATCACGACCAGAGCCTGCTCCAGCATGCCCCGATCGCTAAGACGTTGATGTGCAGAGAAGTAGAAGCTCTTTCCGTCCGTCTTATCTTCAGAGGCGTCGCAAATGTAGGCTAGACACAATGCAGTGCAGGATAGAAATGCTATCAAATCAACCCCTCGGCAATAGAATTGCGCGGGTCGAGTCGCGCGAAAGGACAAAAATCTGGAAAGAATCTCTCGACTTGCCGTCACGGCTGTCGCTTTGTCATGCTTCGATGTTGGGCGCAAGATGTTGGGGAAATGGAGCTGAAGAAGGAGATGATAATACATAAAGTGGTCGTTGAACCGCAACGTTTCCCGAATCATCTCTAGATGGCCCTTTTCCGAGGCTAGGGTCGGAGCAACCCACCACTGCGCTGGCATCACGGTTGAGGCTTCTTGCAGCAATTGGTCAATTTTCTTCGCCTTTCCGTAGTTATATACTTCCGAAGGATCCCGTTGTAACAAGCGTCCGCAAGCGACGGTGCAGAGGCGGAGAAATCGATCTAGTGGAAGACAACCTTCTAGGGTGTCTGGGCGAGCGTAGACGTCTTCCAGTGCGCTCTGTGGCAAGCCTAACATGAGGGAAAGGTAGCGATCAAATTGTACGAGCCGGAACCATAGATCATTCGGTTCGATGATTGAGCCGACGAGGGAGCGTGGTTTGATGCCCCGACTGAGGCCGAGCATCTGCGCAATCGCGACTCCCCGGCGTCCGGCGAGCCAAGAAACACGCAGATTGCCGGCGTAATTCTCGTAGAGGCCCTCCAGCATGATGCATTCAAGGCCTTCCAGAGAATCAACTAGCTCGTCCTTGCATGTGACCAAGTCGTGGGCCGACTTTACCGCTCGGGACATCATGCTGTGCCAGCTGGTGCTGAGCTTCTCTAGGTAATGGGCCGCGGAAGATGGCATACCTTGGAGGAACGAGGCTAAGATCAATAGACTCCTCGCGATGAGTACCGGATGTGACCCAGTGGGCGGTAGTTGTAGCAAAGCCGCGGATAGCGGAAGGGTGGACGGTTTTGGGCTTATTCTCGTGCATATGACAGCTCGGATGATTTGCGAAGTTTCCACCGGGATTGCCAAGATGATAGCCATGTCTTCCGGGCTTGGCCATGCAGCGAGTAGGTGCTTGGAGATAGTCTCGTCTGGTTGTGTGAAGGATTCAGGGAGAGTTGGAGGTGCGAGTCGCTCGACTGAGGAGCGCACAGGCGAGAACCTCCTCTGAGAGCGTGTCTCCTAGACGATAAGCCTCAATGTCGTGCCATGTGCATCCACAAACACGTACCAACGTTGTTGCAGCTCGAGCATCATCATTTGGAGATTCTGAGCGACGGGGTTGAGAGATTACAGTTGAGGGAACAACGGAGGAAGCCGATCGCCTAGGCGCAGTTCTCTCATCCCCGATTTGGTCCTGAGATTCAGCTGGAGAGACGGGCCGCTCTTCAATACGGTACTCTCTCTGGGTTCCTGATTTTATCAGCTGTCTCACCAACGCCTCAACTTGGCCAAGTCTATCCACGATATGCTTATTGCTGCCAGGAGGAGGTGGCAGATCAGCGACCTCTTGACTGACGCAATCACTCCCGCGGCGCTTACAGCCATCGCAGATTTCCTGTGTGGAGGGCGAAAATGTACAGCGGGCTTTTCGCCGCTTGCATTCCCAACAGCTTTGTGTGCCCTTGCGCAGCTTCCGCCGTTTCGGCGCCGGAGCGGAGTCGACGAGTGGAAGCTCCTCGGCCGGGATTTTTTCGGTTGCCGTCATCGTCAAGTTTGATTCGACGCACTGAGCACAAATCTTGAGGTCAATGATGGTCAAGTGTGACTCGTAAGAAGCCCAAAAGGCGTATCTTTGTTCGACCGCCGGTTTGACGGAGGAGTGTAGCGGCGATCAGCTGACAAGGAGGGAACGTTGTCCATTAGTAATCCCCCGCCATCCTCCGCCGCCGCACCGGTGAATCGATATGACGGTGGGGCTAGTGGACTATCAGGGGCTGGAGATACGATCCGATGCCTAGCACTCTTACACATCCCAGTCCTCACAAGTGTTGAGCCCATACGGGAGAGCCGCATGAACGGCGGAGCCCAGGAAGACATGTGTTAAGGAGGTATGCAATCATCTGCAACGACATGTAATAAGTTGTGTATATATGCTCCACGCCTTGCGCCCCGTGTTTCTGTATTCATTCAATCTTCAGGCTCGCAAAGATCCAATACGTGCGTGGTCGACTTCCAAACCAAGAACAACAGTCAAGGGTAGTCATAGCTTGGAAAGATCCATCCCACACGAGGACACCAACGCTTCAGAATGGTTCGAATCGCGATTGCTGGCGGCTCTGGCAGTAGGTTCCGACAGTGTTTTGGTTCATTTCTTGGTAGCCAACGATTAATCAAGAATCCCGCTAGACGTCGGACGAGAGATCCTTGATGCATTAGTAGCTAGAGGCAAGCACGAAATCTTGATTCTATCCAGAAAAGTTGCTTCATTCCTGTCCCCCACGCCATTTCCTTTCAAGAATCAGCTGACTTTTGCAGGATGACCCTGCCACCGATTTTGGCCTAGGAGTGAAATGGGTCAAGACAAGCTACACTGACATTGCCCACTTGACTCAAATGCTGCAGGGAGTTCACACTGTTCTCTCTTTTGTCGCCGGACCTGCCGATCCAACGAACCTCGCACAGAGAGATACGCAGAAGAATTTGATTGATGCATCCATCAAAGCTGGCGTAAGACGATTTGCCCCTAGCGAGTGGGCTTCGTGAGTCTTCCCAATCATGTACCATGCATCTACTTTGTGTCTAATTGGTCTAGTTCCAAATTCGAGCATATGTTCTGGTACGGCTTCAAGGAAGAGACTCGAAAGTACCTCGCAAGCATCAACAAAGACAAGAAGGTATTCAAGTTTACGATTTAACTATCCCGACCCTTGTAAGACCCACGCGGCTTACCAGTGTTGGATATATCAGGTCCTCGAATACTGCCTGTTCCAACCGGGATTGTTCACCAACTATATGACGTATCCGTTCAGCTCCTCTAAGCACGTACAACTCTTCGAGACACCCTTCAACTTGTATCAACGCCGCGCTCTGGTCGTCGATGGAGGTGAAGACGCCATCATTACCTTCACGACTGCACAAGATCTAGCTAGAGTAGTCGCTTTAGCTGTGGAGTATGAAGGCGAATGGCCTCTCATTGGCGGGATTCAAGGCGCCCAGGTGTCAGTCAGGCAGCTCATTGCGCTAGGCGAAAAGATCCGTGGTACGTAACTGAACTTACGATAATTCTTGCTCCCAAGAATCTTGTTTCTTCTGTGGAAAAGTCACTAATATGCGAACGTAGGCGCGACGTTTGATGTGACTAAGCTCAAGTCCGACGACCTCAAGGCAGGGGTAGTCAAGGCTCCTTGGTTCCCCAAGATTGAGCACCCATCGATCCCCCCCGAGACCCTAGGCGCCGTCGCTCCTAGTCTGCTTTCTGGAATGTTGCAAGGTATTGTGGCTGGTAACCTGGAGTGCTCTGACGAGTGGAACCGTCTCTTGCCCGGCTACGAGTTCACTCAGCCGGAAGACTTCCTGGCCACCGCGTGGGCGGAGATAGATGCGGGAGCCACGACTGTTTTCGCGTCCTACTAGGGAGTTTGAGATATTTGGAGAGCCGTTGTCTTTAGCCAGCACTACTCGCGACGTTCTGTGCATGAGGTATAGCAATCGGGTCTTTGCGGATAGCCTTTCAAGGCTCTAGAAGTCGCCAGTGACTATGTTATGGCAGATTGAACGGTCGAAAATCGCCCTAGATAGCACATTCAATGAAGATAAACTTGGGGACCACGTGGAGGGCATAACTATGAGACAAAGGGCTCACAGGAGACTACGGAAAAGAACAGGGTTGAAAAAGAATGAAGTTATTTGTTTACTAAAGTACCGAACGGGACCTTTGCAACCGGGTCGCTAAATTTGACTGGGCCACTCGAAAACATAGACTATTGAGGTGGAACCTGTCGTGGTGTAGGTGTGAAGGTTTCGACCTCTAGCCTTCAATTTTCTGATGTATTCCATTTTCAAAGCCTCAGGGCAGGAGCGCAGTCGGGGCAGCTATTCCTGGAAACCCCGTGACGACAGGTCTTTGGCCTCATTGGTATGCACATTCTGGATAGTGTTGGCTGTAAATATGGCTGGTCTTTGGCGTTTTGAGAAGCTCGATGAGGTTGCTTGAATTAGGCTCGAGTGTTCGGTAGAAGAGAGCTCCTTGAGAGATGTTTGTTTGGGTGTGATGATGGGAAGTAAGTACTTCCCTGCCTTTTTGTCGATGGGTGGGTTGTATTTATATTTATCCCTAACCCTCATAGTGTTGAAGTGAACGTAGTGGGTGCAATTACGCCTCCAGTTCACTGATCCTTTGCATGTTAATCGCAATCTGCCTTATTATGTCCATGACAACCAACTTAACCGTGATTCACACTCTCGAGCCGCAACATCTGCTATTATAGCCTTATCTGTTTGCTGTTTTCATTCCTCTATTTTTTGAGTGAGTCGCAGATATAGGCATCTGGACAAGCTGCTGCGGCAAAGCAAAGGCTGCAATTATTGACAGAGACGGTCTAATTATCAATTGATCTCCAACCTGTGGCTTTAGCTTCACTCTTTGACGCCCTATAAGATTCAATATTAATTCTTCTACTCAGGCACTGGCCCGATTGTTAATATAGAAAGGTGTTGTTTTGGTGGAGCAAATGAAGCATCGCCTGCAAACCTCCATTATGCGTCCCTAGCAACAACGAAAGGAACCTCATGTACTTGTTAGGTGAATGCCCAAATCAAAGAAATACCTGCAAAGCCTTCATCGGGTAGTGATAATCCTAGCCCATCAAAGGGTCATGCGAGTCTTGAGGAAACCACCGAAGCTGTCAAAGAGTGCCTGATCATGCCCCTCCCTCCACCGGCACCTTAGGATAGTTCCCTCTCTCCCAATATCCAGCGCAATCTCAAATCCAAACTTGCATCCCTCAGAGTTTGGTGACTCCTCGACAGCAGTCTTGCCCTCTCGTTCCTCTCGCATCTTCTTCCGTCTCCAGGCACGACTCCACACGTTCTCCCGCGCCCTGCCGATACCGACAAGTTTCTCACGGTCCCATTCCCAAGAAACCAGTTCCAACGAAGACATGAGCTCTTGGATCTTGTCTTGAAGCTTCCCTACCTCTGTGTCAAGCGGGAAAGCAGCGATCTCGGATTCCACACTCGGAGGTAGCAGCTTCTTCCAAACTGCAGCCTTCATCCCCCTCGCGGCTTCCTCCGACGGTCTCATCGTGCCAAAACTCCACGCGACGGCCCAGCGCCTCGTTTTGTTACCTTGCACAAATTCCGTCACGGCGTAGTTGTCAACGCTCTTCTCTTTCAGAATCGCGATAAACCCCTCGAGGCTCGACTGTTTCCCAAACATGGACGTGTACCATTGTATCCTCTCGCGCAGGATGAGTGATTCCTCGAGGATTCTGGACACGAACTTGACTTCGCCGCCGTCTGTCACCATCTCCACTGGCGCGCCGGTGCATGCAGTCAAAGGGGGGCGCGACTTTTGCTTCGCCGAGTTTAGGAGGTCGTCTTCGGATGTGTAGAATGGGGGATTCGTCATGACAAAGGTGAGTGACTCTATGCCCAAATCGGTCAGGGGGATCATGGGATCCTGAGGTGCACGGGCAATGACGGAGATTCGACTTTGTAGATTATTCAATTCTACGTTCTTCTTGGCGAATTCCAGAGTCTTGGAGTCGATGTCTGCTGACAATCAGTGTCTGAACGGTAAGCATCCGAGAAATGGTAACATACCAGTCGCGAAGAAAGACCATTTCCGCTGGGTACATCCTATGAGCGGGTAGATACAGCTTGCTCCAGTGCCGATATCGAGCCCGAGGACTCTTTGATCTGGATCACCATAGGTGGTACTATCTAGTAGGGTCTTTAGCCAGAGGATGTAATTGTGGCGATTTGGTACCTTTTACCGTCAGCAGTGAAAGGGTGAGATTTTCAAGACTTCGGGAGGATTGTACTTACAGGTGGACACAAACGATCGTCAGGTAGCTCAACATCCAGTCCAAAGTCAGCTTGCAGCAGCGTCTTCGTGAGCTGCATCACGGCAGATGGATCGTTGAAATCAAGATTCCCACGTTTGAGCCTGGGGAAAAAAGTCGGTCAGCCGTGCTAACGCAAAGTCTAGTGATGATATCACACACATGGCTCCGAAGAGCGGATCTTGGCGGCCCAGCTTTCCAAAATCGGGTTCCGTCGAGTAGAGATTGCGGTAGTAGGCGTCTGCGTGGGTACCGGGCTCTGGTGGCCGTATCACGAGTCCGCGATCAGCCCGGCGAATTGTGTTTTGTAAGCTGACATCGTAAGCTGCGGAAAGAGTGCTTTCCGAGCTTCTTCGTCTTTTGCCTGTCATTGCTGTCCCGGGTGTTTGGTGTCTTTACTCGATCCACCGTCACCGAGCGAACTTTGGATTAGACCGGTGGCAATTGACAACATACAAGATGTTGGAGAGCGAATCAAACACTTTTTTTCAACGGGATCATGAGATGGAGAACATCAGACCCGGCTCAGATGGTCGTGTCGAAGTTGCTTTGATTTCAACGTTCGCGATGTGTTAGTGAAGAGAAATTGTTACTGGTGGTAGGTAGACGAGAAGTGGAGACATTGAGTGGGAAAATTGGATAGACAGATATGCGCGTGTAATTGCTGAGTCATCGCTATAAGCGGTATCAGCGTTGATCGTGAACGACACGTCGTTGAAGATCTGCTGTCCACTGTGATTATTATGGAGAGTTTTCTCGTAGTCACATAAATGGAACAATTCACAATTGAAATGTTTCATTCATAGTCTCAGTTGAGACTCTTCTGCCTCTAGTCGCAACAGAGCTTTGTGAACTTGGGCCCCTGATGGCCGACCAAAAGTATAGGAAGCGGGCTAAATCTCTCGACATGTCCTGAGGCTAAACTTGATGGTATGACATTACAAGCTAGGAATGAATAGGAAGAGCTATCCCATATAGCAGAGTAGTCGTGAGCACAAACATGTCTGTGGTTGATTCTTCAAACGTATTAAAGCTCCGGAAACAAATCGAAACCTGCACGCTTCCATACTATGCAACGCTGTCGTTTTCTCATGTCCGTCATACATGCTCACATATGCATCATACCTCGCGTAAATCACTGCCCCCACATAAGGACTCTCCACCGCCAGCCTTCGAGCAACTTCATGTCCTGGTCGACAACCTCCACGTCACCCCTCTCGATCTTTGCACTTAGTCGCTTCAATCTCTTTGACACGGTCTTGGCCACCTGCAGAGAAACCTCGTTGGTGAAGACGTAGAGTACGGCAAAGACAAAGAAGGCGATGCTGGCGAAGCTGTTGCGACCCAGGAGACTGTCCTTGATGCGGGCTACTAGTGCTTTGCTGCGCCAGAATGCGTACTCGGTGCTGTTGGACGCCTGAACGTCGGTTTCCGTCTTATCGGAAGGGCGGCGGAAGATGCGCTTTACAGCTGGGATGAACGTTGCTCTGTAGGCAGTTGTTAGCGAGGTCCCACGATCTCCTCATACCATAAGATCTTACACAGCTCCACCGATGAGCCAGTTTCGCCAGCGGTGATTTTCGCCATCTTTGATAAGTGTTCCGACCTCCTTCCGTAAGATCTTGAGATCACCTAGCAGGACACGACCTTGAGCCCTGATCTGATCCTCCAACTCCAACGACATAGCACCATCCAGTCGACCTCTCTTTCTTTGCAGGGACAAATATTCTCGGAGTGCAAATTGGGTCCCTGTCTTGACCGTTTTCAGGTCCTGCGTCGTCGTGGCGAGAGGGTTCAGGGCAGCTGAAGGGCGCGGACCCTCCACCATGCTAGCCTGTTGGGCGTGAGGGTTTGTATAGGCTGCTGGGCCAGACATGTGCTTAACTGGAGCTATACTCGTCGGCCCAGGAGGCGGTCCTCCATAGACTGTCCCAGGGTAAGGAGCCGTGGGTGTGGTAGACTGGGGCGGCCGAGAATACGGGTCGACTGAGACCCCCGGCGGCGCTCCAGAAGGTGGTGGAGGGTACGACCCGGGCCCATTGTACGGACCAGGCGCCGTTGCAACCGGCCGGCTGTCCATAGTCTCGGGAAGCAGACCGCCCTGACTTAGCGGCGGTGAAAAATAGTGTCTTTCGGGCTGCAACTGGAGCAGAGCGGATCAGGCGGGAGTGGAGGCGGGTTTCTCAGATCAGAGCTCAACTGCGACAAAAGAACAACAGAACAAAAGCAAGGAACAAAGAATGGCAGTTCTATGGACAAGGTACGGGGATAATATGAGCAACGAGAAAATAATGAGGTGGCGGGGGAGCGAACTTGGAGGAGAGCTGGAAACAACTCAGCTCACTGCAGGGCGAAGGCGGAGGGAAGGTGACGGGAAGGTGAAGGCGGCATAAAAGTGGGGGCTTGCCAGCGAACGGGATCCACTGCGGGATGTGGGTCTATCACACCGGTCGTAAGTGTGGCGCAAACTCGAGGCCTCAGCCACACACTGACAGCTTCGCTTCTTCCTGAGGCGCCACTGTCTGCCAGAGCTCGCCCAAGTGTGAAGCCTTTTCAGTCTTTCGCAAAGCCAACACCATCGCCGTCGCCAATCCCCTGCATATATACACAATGCCCGATCCAACGAGCTCACGGTTCACTCCGTCCAACAAGACAACAACTGAGCGCATCTCAGACAGCACCGTAGGCCTCGTCGCGCTCTCCGACTTTCGCAAGCGACGCGCCGAGGTCCTCGACCAGCAAGACCGCGAACGAGAAGCTGCCCTGTCCGGCACATCCACACCCGATCGATCCAATTCCGCGACGCCAGACCCCGGAAGTGACTCGGCCAGCGGTACGAGCAAACCAAAGAAGAAGAAGAAGAAGCTCGGCGGCAGCAAGCTGTCTTTTGGCGACGATGACGAGGAAGAGGAGGATTCGATGCCAGTAAAGCAAGGCAAGAAGGCCGACGAAGGCGAGGATGAGAAAAGCACAACCGCGAAGAAGTCCAAAGTCGTTGCCAACTCGTCCGTCGCGTTTGTGCCCAAGGTCATGTCGAAAGCAGCCTTGCGACGCGAGGCGGCTGAGAGAGAGGCGCTGCGCAAGGAGTTCCTCGCGATACAGGAGGCCGTCAAGGCTACAGAAATTGCGATACCGTTTGTGTTTTACGATGGATCGAATATACCTGGTGGCACTGTCCGTGTCAAGAAGGGCGATTACATCTGGGTCTTCTTGGACAAGAGTCGAAAAGTTGGCGCCGAGTTAGGCGTGGGAGAGAAGGCCAATGCACGAAGAGAATGGGCGAGAGTTGGTGTGGACGACCTGATGCTCGTCCGGGGCTCCATCATCATTCCACATGTGAGTCAGTTCAGCTTCTGTCTATTCAAGTCTTTCACTAATTCTCTATAGCATTATGAGTTCTATTTTTTCATCATCAACAAGAATGCTGGCCCAGGTGGCCAACAATTATTCAACTACAAAGCCGACGCGCCACCCAAGAAGGACGGACCGGAACCTGACGAAGTCCCAACTGCCCCATCTGGTGGTCTGACTACCGCAGCTGCCCTCAAGGCGGCTGCAGTCAAGGCCCTGCCCGACATCAATACCCTTGAAGGTGCCACAGACGACCCTACCCTAACAAAAGTGGTGGATCGGCGTTGGTATGAGCGCAATAAGCACATCTATCCAGCGAGCATGTGGCAAGAGTTTGACCCCGAGAAGGACTATGATACGGAGGTGCGGAAGGATGCCGGCGGCAACACGTTCTTTTTCTCGAGGTGAAGGCTGTTTCATCGACTATGTCTGGCGAGCCGGAATCAGAGGGGGAAAAGTTATGCCACGAGTGGCGTTCTTGCTCGTTCATCCCGACAGCGTACGAAGAGTCAAGACGAGGCCCAGGATAAACAACCATCCCGGCCAGAAGACCATGACGATCAGCATGTTACCTCCCGGGCCCAATATCGTTGTTGCAAACTCCATGAAGACCTTCTTCCTCAACTTCTGGATTCGTTTGGATTCCCACACATGTCCCATGGACGTGCGGACTGCCGTCGTCGCCTTCTTGATGGCGAATAGCGAATGGAAGGCGAAGAGTCGGGTTGCTATGACTGCCGATGTGAGGGTTGAGGTTGCGAAAAGGTGTGCGTAGAGGAAGAGGAGCGACGACGCCACGGCCACTATTCTTTGAAAGCGGACCGCGATGTCGAAGGTAGGCCCGAGTGCGGCAACGAGATCTGACCGTTGGCGGATGGTAACGCCCGGCTCGTGTTTGGACGAGGTCAACAGGGCGACTTTGTTCATGATGGCGACGGCAGAAGAGGTCTCGGCGAAGACGTGGTCACGACCTACAGCGGTGCCTTGTTTGTTTTGACATGCTCCAATGCTATCAGAAGCGTGGCGAGCACTTTGCACCTCACGATATATATCAAGGGGCATCTGAAGAGCAGCGGCAACTGCATGCGATTCATTCCACCCTATGGACTTTTGGACTCGCGGTAAAAGCGCCTCTGAAGTTCTCGATAACACATAAAGTTTGGATGAACATGGACATCAGGAGTGATAGAGCCCGCCGCTGCCGCGGTGCTATATGCCTAACACAAGCGATGTCTAGAATTTTCTACCCCTCCATTGTGTCGAGATTGATGCTGTGACAGCCCCACCACCGCATCCTTTCCCTGGCGACAAACCATGTCGACACGTGGGGCTGGCTGCTCGCCGGATCGGTTCTTGAAGCTCACATCGGGCCTCGAGGCTGGAGTGGAAAATCAGCAACGTGGATTCTCATCGACTCTTATTCGTGGAATCCTATGGTCCCTCGTGGGATGTTGCAGGCTAGAATCTCCAACTTTCAACTTTGGAACGTTTGCGTTACCCCTCGATGGACCCTCATCTTTAAAACTTCAGCTTCCATTGGCTGTGCACATCAGTTTTATCTTATCGCGTTTATCGCGCCCGTGATTGAAGAGACACCACCTTAGGTAGGTAGGTAGGTAGCTCCGGATTCCCTGACCTCTCGGAGTTGGATATGGAGGCATGTGGCGGGCCCGTGTTTCGGCCGTCGACCGTGCAGCAAGAATGCATTCTCACGGGTTGGTGTATCTGCCGTTTCCGGGATGCGTCCGACTTAAGCAGATTGTTGACTCCGGCATTTTCGGGTCATCTCGGTCACATTTGGAAAATGGGGAGCCAATTACGCCACATTGTGGTGCCACACTTAGTCATCCAAATTGGACATCTCCCCCTCACTCTTGGCTAGTGCTTTCAGCCACCCTCACAACCAAGCTGTCACCAACTCTAATGCGAATCTCGCTCGTCACGATCAATGCCGCACAAACAAGATTCATAGTTATCTTCGCCGTCTACAGTAGGTATTGGATAGCGACAGACCGCCTTCTTCAGCCGCTTCATCTTTTCTCGAAGCACCGACGGCAATCATAGTGTGCACAGAGCGGTCAGATCTCGCCGCCGATGTGTTCCTGCATGTACCAGAAAAGCCAGCACATCCATTTCGAGAGAGAATTCGTTTACCGAAGAGTCACAAGTCGGAAACGGACCCAAAGATTGTTCGGCGGTCCTGAAGTCCCAGATCCATGAAGTCGGTGAAGATTAGAACACAACCGCGGCGAGGTGTAACGTTCCCACGAGGGTTTGAGGCGAAAGGGAAACGTTTGAGCGGCGATCGAATTCACTGCTTTCCGTCCGGTCCGACAAAGCCACCCGCCAAGGTCCTTCGCCTACGCAGTAAGCGAGTGGCTGGTCGAAAGGCACTTTGACAATAGGCACGACCGGCTTTGTCCGCCCGTCAACGAGGAATTGAGCGCGCCGCCCGCCCACCGGAGCCGAGTATGGCATGACGAGCATGACAAGCGCCGATCCGACAAGTGGTTCTTCAGTGGAGATGCGGCTGGAAACGAAGTCACTTCCTCCAGGCTTCCTCCCCTTGCGACTTGAATGCACCGCATGACGGATGGGACCAGAAAACAAACGCAGCGATATGCATATTTTGCAGCCTGGCTCCATGCAGGTTCCAGTTCATCGATCTTTCTGGTCGTATCTGCCAGCGTTTGCATCACTAGGGGCCACCGAAGAGGGCGCGGTTCATCTATTCTTCCCTCGTAATCCAGAATATGACCGAGGAAATCCCATCCGGTCTTTGTCATGACAACTGGTTGGGATCAGACGAAGAAGAACAACGAGACCCTGGAATCGTCCCATCCGCTACCCAAAGCGTCCAAGGTGTACCCGTGACTGTCAACAAGGTCGTCGCTGCAAGCAAGAGGGACTATCATTGAGACCATTCATGCATATCCCATCCCACTGGCATCCCCTTTGCTGTGTTCAACACGAGCCAGCGATCGGCAGTCCCCTCCAGGGCACACGCTGTTCGAAAAGCTGCTAGCTGTCAGCTGCCGAGCCGAACACTAGGCAGGCCCCAGCTGAGTTTACGTGAAAATATAGTGATAACATGAGGAGGAGAGACAATTCTTCTAATAATACACATCTCGCACCAACCCGAACCAGAATGGTGCCTGCAGCGACAAGCCGGAATCGGGCAATTTTGATCGTTCTTCCAACACCCCTGCTCCGCTCAGCACCGTCTTCACCCACTACCTACTGTAGGAGCGAGCAATGCGACCCCCCTCACCCCTCTTTTTGTTTCTCCCGCTTGTCTGCCAACCGGCACGATCTACGCCGCGTTTGTGGGGGAAGAGGGGATGGGATGGGATGGGTGAGAAAGGATGTCGCTCGATGGCGATACGGTCTATCCAGTTGACTGCGGTCGCAAGAAATACGAGAATGGTACCCTTTGTGCTACGTCATGGTTCAACGGTGCCACCTCTCCGGCCTTACCGACTTTCATGCGATGGATGGCTGGGACTCCCGGGTTTAGACTCTTTGATGGCATGCTGTATGGAAAGGCAACTGGCGATCTTTTGTCAGTGTCGATGGAACTGGTAAAAAGTTTGACGACGCTATGCGTACTTAAACCTGCGTGATGTTCCTCGTCTGAAGTCTTGAGATTTTGCATCACAACAGCACGCCTCTCCCATCTCATCTCAACTCATCTTACTTAATCCCACTTCATAGTAAATAACATCAACACATCCTCTCAAATCAAAAGCCCCATTAATCCATCACAACCCTCACCGGCCCTCAAAATGCACTTCCTCGCAACCCTCCTCCTCGTCGTCCCAGCCCTCGCCTCCCCCATCGCCCAGCGCGAGGAGACGTGCGGCCAGAAATCAGGCAAGCTCTCTGAATGGACGCTCTCGGGCTTCGACTACCACGCCAGCTACATTTTCAGCACGCCCGCGCACCAAAACTCGTGGGGCTACATCAGCTTCAACGTTTCCAACCCGGTACTCAACTACACCGTAGCCTGCTCCGCCGCCAGCAGCCGTCTCAACGACTTCTTCTACGGTGAGCAGGTCTACCAGTGCACGCCGCCCGAGGGCGGGGAGAGCACGGCCACGTCGTTCACGTGGAGTACGCCTGAGAAGGCCGTTGCGTTGAACCAGTCGTGGACTTGTAATGATGATCCCAAGTACCCGTAAGTTACATCCTCTCTCTCTCTCTCTCTACAGTTGGCTTTCATCGCGTGGGGTTTCTCCTGTCGATGAAACATTTGTGCCGAAAATGTGACGGAGTACGTTTCTGCCATGAGGGACGCTCAGGCTAATTGGAATGTGAACAACCAGAGCCCGCTACACCGCAAAGGGCGGCGCCGTCGCCGATCTCCAGTGCGAGGAGACGTTTTGGCAAAACGACAACTGGACGATTGGTCAGATTTACTCGACGCGCAACATCGACTGCGGCATCATCACGCTGCCTACCCCGATCAAGGAGATTTCTGCGGTCGCGTAAATGGCACTATTCTCAACCACGGTTCACGGGTAATCAAAGCTCCAGCGCGGGGCCCAATTCCATCCGCGCATATTAATCGACGACGCTTTACACGACTGTTATGATGATTTGGCTATTCGCTTTCACGACACTCCTTTGACAGATGCTTCGCACTTTTGCATGGTTCCGGCGCCTAGAAAACCTTTCCCGGTCATTAACTATATTGATGGGAATGGGAATGCTATTTTGGGATGAAAATGGGAAACGGAGCATATAGAAGCATATTTGGGATAATTCTAATGATCTAATTCTTCTTCACAACCGAGCGGAGTTGCTGGTTGCGCTATTCGGATGACCGTGACTTACTGTGTACGCCCAAAAGTCTTCATATGCAGCGCTTATGGTCTAACATCAGACGCCTCTCGTCATTCATGATAGACGTACTGATAAGACACCTGGACAAACAAGTTATGAACACAATTTCGGACCACAACCTCCCAAGAAACTTGAATCAAAGGTGCATCAAAGCAATTGGGTATCTTTTCTTCTCCCTCCCATTAACCACCTTCCTCTTCTTTGTCCACATCTCGGAGGCTTCACCCTCATATCAATGAGTCTCCTTTCAGTCATCAGCCGTCTGCCGACACAGCCATGGGTCCTCCATTAGCTCTCGGGCGGATAACCTATCCTCCGGTTTCCACTGCAGCATCTTCCTCAGGAACACCAAAAACTCGGCTTGCTCCGCTCCCTCAAGATTACACTCCTCCTCCTCGAACGAGGACTCTGGTATCTCGCCGTCCACAATCAGTTTCCCTGTCTCTCTCGCGTCAGTCTCAGCCAGCCTGCGTTGTGAGATACTCGAATAGCCGACGACAAACCTTCTTCGTCAAAAAAGTCTTTCCATGATGACCCTCTATCCAGGAGATCATCCGGCGGGGGTCCAAGCAAAGATACCGTCCTCGCAAAGTGGGCTGCCCGGGATGCATTCCGATCGCGGTGTCGGGTGTTGTAAAGAAGCTTCCCCTCGAACAAATCTCAAACCTGGTAACGGCAGAAATTTCAGCGTCAGCAATCGGTAGGCCCCTCGCCGCGGGCTGATCTCTTACCATTAGTCCTAAAGCCCAGATATCAATCTTTTCGTCCCAGGGAATTCCAAGGATGATCTCGGGCGCGCGGTACAGATCAGGCATCACCTCGCCGTCGAAGTCGCCTTCTCCGTATTGCGCATCACCGAAATCTGAAATGACAGGATCGCCTGGGTCATCTGGGATCTCGAGCCCTGTTGATGCGTAGGTGGTACGATCACCCATGACTTTTCTCGCACTTGGAAGCCTCCATTCTTCGTTCACTAGTTCGTCCAAGATTGTGGTGTCTGAAATTGAGAGCATAATGTTTCCGTCCTGAATGTCTGACCTGTGTGTTAGTGAAGCCGATGCAGGAGACGATGCAGAAAACACCCTCTGAGGCGCCTAGGGGTAGGGTAATGAAGAAAGAAGCACAATCATCCTCACCTGTATGGACGACATGTGCAACTGAATGCATATAGTCAATGCCCAGTAGCAAGCCATATATCAAACCCTTTAAGAGGTTCTCTGGCAGCTTACCGCCTGCCAATTCTCGAATATCGGCCAGAGATAAGCCGAGAGTTTCGAAAATCAAGCAAACGTGCGGGCCGATTTTCCCCTGCAGCTCAAAACTGTCCTTGATGGAGCGAAGGAGTTTTTGTCCTGGGTGCTCAGACTCGAGACGTTCCAAGTGACGAAGCACTACTTCCTCATTACGAGCCTGCCGATGCCCGGTCTCATAGACTTTCAAAGTCACATAGCAATGCTTCCTAGACTAGCAGTCAGTTAACTAGCCCTTGAAACGACGACAAGTCCAGAAATAACCCGCGTACATACTCAAGATCACGACACAACCATACTGTCGACGCAGAACCAAAACCCAACTTCAGCAGTACCTGATACCGTGACTCATAGACATGACCAATCTGAATCGGGTACCATTTGTCGGGATTATACCAGGCGAAAGCCTCTTCTTCAAGGCGCACCTCTTGGCCGTACAGCTCTTCCGGTTCGGCGTCCGGCAGCCGCCGTGGGGGCGAGGCGTCTCTCTCCGCGGCCATTGGCGTCAAGGAGCCGCGACAATGCGGTTGGACTAAGCGGTGAGGTGTGGACTGGGAGACATGGCGTTGTTGCGCGCAGGGTTTGCTCGAGGCTACAGCTATTTTTTGTGGGGTGGAGATATTAAGTGCCCGTGGTCCTGCGGGCTTCCCCACCAACAAAAGTCTCGTGTGACCACTTGCAACTTGATTCGGTTTCCAGCCACCTCCATTTTTCGTTTGCGCTGGAGCTGAGTAAGTGAGCTGATCAAGTAGAAATTTTGAGATGATGCGTAATTGATTAGAAGAACAAATCTCGCAGAAACCTTCTGTTCACGATTTTCATCACGGCTTTGGTCAGGATCCTCCTTCGCCATTGCAAAGCTTCTGGTAATCTAAGCAACCCAACCAGCTACAATTAACTGGTTATTTAACACTGGATGAAATTGACCATCATCTAATGACCCTCTTATCGAAAGTCCTTATCGCGTGACGAGACGATAAGTTTTTAGACATGAAAACCCCCTGCCTTTCTTTTGTGTATATTCTACACCATACCTTAATGGTTGTGCACAAGCAGTGAAACAGGTAGGAGCCAGGCGATGAACTTCAGGAATGAATGCTTCATCCCATTCGTAATCCTTGTGCATATCGGACTTTGAGATTGGCGAATGCAAATGTTACTCCAAAGCCCGTAAACTATGGCTATCCAGTGCGAGGTATACTTAGAAGGAATAGAACATTGGAATAGGTGTAATCTCATCAGAACTTTCGACAGAAATGAACAGGAGAGAATCTCATTCATCAGACACCGCCTGCAACTTAGTTTCAAAGTTGAATTCAATACCGTAAAAACACAAGTAGAAATATCCATCCAGTATCACGCACCTGGAGTTCTGTTGAGTCCAGTCCCAAAGCTTGCTAGCCTGGTCTTTATCTTGTCCGTCCTTCCCTGCAACACACGAGACTTTAATACGCTCGTAGTACTATGCGCTCTTGAATTCTTTTGAGATAGATGCTCAATGTTGGTTGCGTGCGGCCCTTTTGGAGGAGTTGGCCAGTGATTGATTCGCAGACTGCAATAAGTGTTGTATAGCTTCAGTTGACCCAGTCGTGTCAATCGCCAAGTTGGTGCTGTTAACACCAGGATAAGCAGCCGCAACCCTAAATTTTGGGCACTCTTTTGCTATTTGTCCTGACCACGGCATGCTCGACAACTTGCCTTGAGAGTAGAGCCCATAAGGACCTAATGGCTCTGCCTCCAACTTGAGGGTGCAGTGCTGGATGCCCCCCTAAAGGGCATAGGCCTTACCATGGGAAGACAATGAGATGACTCGGACATCAGAGTTGAAATCGCTTGTGGTGACCTTTTGCAGGAATGCATAAACGAGGTGCCTGGGTAGTACGTGTCCCATGCGGTTGGTTCCTATTTGAGTTTCGTAGCCCTTGTTGGTCAGGCCAGTTCCTGTGGCCATGGTGCCAGCGTTCAGTATTCAGAGATCGAGTCGCTCTCTTCCCGTTGATGCAGTCGAAAGAGCCGAGGTCAAGCTCAAGCAGTTTGATAGGTGCGTCGGGGGGGTTTTCTACTTGACCTCGTCTGCGGCGGCTTGGGCTTAGTCGAGGGTCGGCACAGCGAAGAATATCTGCGCTGGCTTGGATCTTCAGGCCGCGTTTTCCCCCCAGACCCGAGTTTGCGACGGTGATTAGAGTGACCTTTTCCTCGAAACTGTGGATGACCCGCTCGGGGTCGAAATGAATGGCGGTACTATTGAAACCGGCATGTTTGACGATCACTTCAATTCTTGTATTAATACCTTTGCGAACACTGAAATTGTTGCTTGAAATGCGCAGCCGAAAGAGTGTCTTCGTATGCGACTGATAGTTTTGTATCTTGTCCTGTTCGTTGTAACATCTGCAAGTCTAACCTGACAGCTCATTCTCATCTCAAAGCTTTCGATGTTGCGCGAGTCTGCGCCCATAACGGGCCTTAATCGCCCTGGTTCTCTCTGGAAACCGTAATTTTACATCTTGGAGTCGTCAGCAGCTATGCTACTAGGCCAATAGTAACGCTTAGTCGGTGGTTTAATGATGGCACAGCAGAGGCACGTTGTCTGTCAGACGATACAGCTGGGATTATGAAGGAGATAGTAAGGCTTCAGAGTTCGACCAATGGACAAGAATGCTAACGATCAGATATGTTGATGGACTCGTTGGTTCTTAAAAAGCCCGAAGGAGCGAAAAGGGACTATGGTAATCGCTGTATTTCATGAGCCGACTCCGAAAATTAAGCCAAGGATGTAATCGCAGTGAGAGATCAATTAAGATGTGGGGGAGTTGTTCGAGTGCGAAGAAAATGCGAGACCAATGGCAATGAACATTGCCGAGTGCGAGAAACATTTCTCAAGCACTCGTGTGCTTTGCTGTATCTTACCAGATGCGAATGCGATTGCCGTTGCGTTGCAGTCTGACCAACACCGCTTGAGTCACCCGACCGGCACGGTGAGAAGAATCGGGTTTGGGCTGTCAGCACCTTGAATCCTATCTGCGCCACACTTTGGAGCCGATAAATCAATTGGACCTCAAGCCAGCAGTGACATGTGTGAGCCTTCGAGTCAGTACTATAAAGTTCAAGAGGTTACTCCCGCGACGATAAGCCGGAATTGGGACAGAAACGTTGAGATAGATAAAATAATTTCAGTCTGATTACTCTCTCACACCTACTTGTTCTTTACCAGACTCGGTCGTCAACAACATCTCGAAAACTTCAGTTGTCAACGTCAATATGAACCCAGTTAACACCAAGCCCTACACTCTTGCCCCAGGCGCAATCTGGTTGAGTAAGTCTCAGCATGTTGATAATCGCTTAGGTTCACGCTTCTAACATACGACCAGTCACCGGATGTTCGTCAGGCATCGGTCAAGCACTGGCAGCTCTAGTCGCAACTAAGCCGAATCATCGCTTGATCGCAACGGCTCGGAGTCTCACCAACCTGGATTACCTGCCCGATGACAATGCCAACCTCCTCAAACTTGCCTTGGACGTGACATCCCCAACCTCGGTGAAAGACGCATTCAAAGCCGCAACCGAACACTTTGGCCAAGATTTCCATCTCGATGTTTTGGTCAATAATGCCGGGTATTCGTTGTCTGGCGATACGGAATCTGCGACCGAGGATCAAGCTCACCAGGAAATCGAAACCCTCTTTTTCGGCACGGCTCGGATGACTACTCGTGCCATCGAGAACATGCGGCAGTCTGAAACCCGACGAGGCGGTATCATCTTCAACATCTCCTCTCTTGCTGGACAATGCGCCTTTCCGGGTCACGCCTACTACCATGCGGGGAAGTGGGCCGTCGAAGGATGGACTGAGTCTGTGGCAAGGGAGATGCACCCAGATTGGAACAGTAAGCTAGCATCATATCTCATATGGAAACTCGTAGGAGTCGCTGACGGATTTCAGTAAATTTCTGTATTGTAGAGCCGAGCGGTGTCGAGACCAACTTCGAGGGGCATAGCAAGGCGCGTACTGAGCCTCATCCAGCCTACGCCGAGAAAGACATGCCGGCACGTGTTCTCGAGAGATACGTGGAGATGGGTATCAAGTCGGGAACTCTTACTAAGCCGTCCGCAATTGCAGATGCTATTTTCAGCATTGCGTCTAGCAAAAAACGTATTCCCCTGCGTGTTCCCCTCGGGGAACCTGCTTGGGGCTTTATAAAGCAGAAGCATGAGACCTGCTTGAAGGACCTCGAAGACGTCAAGGACCTCAGTCTTTTGGTATCTAAGGCGTAAGGGAACTAGGCATTCAGAATGTGTCAGGAATCTGCGGATGCAAGACTCGAAATGGAGGCCTAGGGTTCAGAAAATGTAAACTTTTGTATCTCTTTGGATATTCCGGTGAAGTTTGAAGTGAAATGGGAGCGTGTCGTCCATCCACTATGGATGATTATTGAGTTCAGGCTGTCGTTGCTTAAGCATCCTATATGGTTAAGGCTTGCCAAGAAATTATGCCGCTTTGAAATCTCTAGTCCGGGTCCATTCAACTGCTTGTTCCTAGAGATGGTCGCCAAATCCTCACGCAGCATTGCAGTGAACTTTTCCCGTCACTCCAGTCTTTCGTTACCAGAACGTCATTAATTCGTACCCAACCGGCCAGCCGTAGGAGGACGGCTCGCAATATGTACATATATTATACATCTCTTTTCCTCAAGCAGGCACCAGATGGATGGAGCCCAACCATCAAAGCAGCTCTATAATACCGCGTGGAGCTTGCCTCGTAATCCACATATTAGTAGTTCCCATCGACCCATTACCGGCCCACCTCGACGTGGTAATCCTTGGTGACTTGGATTCCTGAGTTATAGTTTCCTCCGTCATCGGAACTTCTATCGTCCGCAAACGCCGTGGTCTGGCTTCTGGCGCCTTTCGGGTTGACAATATGCTCCTGGCTTCCTACGGATGTGTCGTCAAGCTTCTGATGGCCATTTCTGACGCGTGACATCTTATGGGAGCTGCCGGTGCCGCCGAACGTGACCAGGCCGGAGTGGGGAGTACTCGGATTCGTGGAGCCGGTGCGTCGATGGGGGAAAAGCGGCTTGATTGACGGAGCGTTCGTGCAGATAATCGCAACAACCTGATAGGGGGGGGTATTAGCCAAAACGAAGTTTAGAAATTGGGAAGCACGGCTCTTAAGCTTACCGTTTCACGGATGGACCAATTCAATCCCAAGTCAAGTCGCTCGGGGGTGCTCAAGCAGATAATGCACCGTAATAGCGTGCAGATTACAATGAAGAAACCGGCACAGAACATTAGGCCGAACGCAAGTTTCCTGTGGCTTTTATAAGAATCACATGCGCATTTTGTGTTCAGTCGCAACTTACTTTTGGAGAGTGGTCTGCAATCTCCACAACAAAGGGATGGGAATGTACATGATCATGATGTCGGTTCTATGAATACGCGTCAGCTCAGATTTACTGTGAAAGTTTCAGATGCATCAGGACTTACACAACGTTTGTAGTCACCAAAGCGTAATACTTGGAGGTGTTTTGCGTGCAGTCATCTACCGGACGTTAGATTCTCGCCGTTCGACGTTTCGAAACACCACGCTATTTTCCTTACCTCCGGCGTATGGATACACTTGCCAAAGCTTGTGCATAGGACGGCAATGTCCTGTGACAACCGCAAGTGTAGCCAAGTAGGCAAACACGGTAATGACAAACACCACCTTGACGAGGCGTTCCTCGGGCAGAGTTTTTCTGCAAAATCATTGTTCAGCGCATGTTTCGTAGGAAAAGGCTCAATAGCAACTTACGTGACTCTGGAGAAAAAGAAGAGCATGATGCCCTTGAGACTCCAGATCATGCTAACGTAGACATACCACGCAGCAAAAAGCCATTTTGCTCCCGTTTCGTGGCTTTTGTATTGTTCTGGCGTGAGGCTCAGCGCGACTTCGTCGGTCATACCGGTGATGCTTCCCTTCTCAACTAGATAATGATCGTTAGAACAAAAGTAAAGTTTTCTTGGCACACAAACATCTGTTCTTACCGATGATTTGACACATCATAACCTCCAACTAAGGTTCAAGGTGCTGTCAGCGGAGCCCGCTCCGTGGTGTGGTAGGGAATAGGGGTTGCCCGCGTTGAGACAACGAACTAACCGTGAAGAATATAATGGCCGCTACGGCCAGGTAATCGTCGCCTTGCCATTTGAAACCCACCACCTTCTTGCATCTCGTGAAGATTCGTAGAAAAAGAACCAAAATTCCAATGGCATATTCCACCCACATCTCAATCACCGCCGGCATCAACGCTTCAGCGACCGCCATTGTTGCTGGGTTGTCGGAGTTGACCGCAAGTACGCGCGCGCACACACACTCGTTCTAAATCGGGGATAGGCAAAAGCAAAGCGCGCTCAGAGAGTTGAAGGAGTAGACCTGCGGGTAATGCTGAACCGGCTAGACGGACGCCAGTTTTGGGCAGCTCGTGCTTAAGAATCGGGTCGCAAAAAGGTTGCAGACTCTGCCGCCTGCAGGACCCATCTGCAGGTTACTTCCAGCCTGCAATCGGCAGTTAGGATCGACCAAACCCTCGTTCATTGGGTCCAGGGGAACGACTGGAAGACATCAAGATACTGAACCGTGATTGTGGACTAAGGTAGTAATTCTACGTTGCAGAAAAGCGTTCTCAGGGTTGGAGGAGACAACATAGGTCCACAGTGCTGAATCGGTAATGACGAGAGAACCCCCTTTTCTCTCTTTTCCTCTGGACGTATCTGGCCGAAGTAGATTGTCTGAGAGGTCAGGGTGTGGAGATCGGCAAGCACATTTCCACATTCAAAAGTTCTGCCCATGGGACATGACTTAGCAAGCTGGCAGACAAGGACTGCATTGGCCCGCGGAAGGGAACGTCAAACTCACTTGGCAGCAGAGAGCATGGGCTCCTGAGGCATTTGCGTGGCATCGGAGAAAACGACATAACATGACTTTCGTCCCATGCGGGATTCGTAATAATGGAGAGTTCATCCTATAGCTGGTTGTGTGAACTATGAAGTTGTAATGATGAACCATAAGATACTTGGTAAAGCCGTTGGATCGTCAGCAACGGGAACCACTAGGGAACCACATCCTCAACCACAATCAGCGGATGGGCAGGTTAGATCTCGGTCGACGGTCGCACATCCCCCAAAACCAGACCATTTCTGGTAAGATAATAGATCCCTCCCGTGGTCTCGCCTTCTGGCCCGTTGGGCCGCGACGAGGTTGCCGGCCGGCGGACCCCATGCACGTTGCATTTCTATTAGTCGTTGCTGAAGAACGGTCCCGTCCGGGGAACTGGACCGGCTTGGAACAAGGGGCCCCTGTGAACTCTATTGTCAACGACTGACTCAATCCCAGCTAGCCCCCACTCGGAAACACTTGCTGATTGTGAATGTGCAGTTCCTGATTGAGCGAAATTTTGGCCTCGTAATATACCGGATGAACGTGGAGCACGGAGCAATGAACACGCAAGACGGAATGCTTCTCTGCTACCTGTGCCCATCGGCTGGTAGAGGAGGGTTTTCATCTGTTTATCGTGAACGGTCACGCATAAAGGAGGGTTACGTGGGCGGTTTTGACACAAACATGAGATGACATTATTACTATTACGGTTTACCACTCAATGGGCTGGGACTTGATCGGTGCGTCGAAGAACGCTGGCAGCTTGGCGATGTCCACCTTTTCGCTCGCGAACGCGGGGTGGGCGTCGTATGCAAGAAATCCTGTTCCGTCATAACACCCAACGTACTCCGCGTCCATTTCTTCACCCTTCAAAACTGCCACATCAACCCAGAGCAGCAAATCACCACCCTCCATAACTCCACCAGGCCCGTATGCACCGAAAAAGTCGCGTCTGAGCTTGACGTGAACCTTATCCGTTCTGCCGATGTGTTCCATTTTGGAAAGGTCAAGCCAAAAGAGAATCTGGGCCTGGCGAATGTAGTCCAAGCCGGGGAAGATTCCGTTGCCGTGACCATTTGTCAAAGTCCCGTTGGTACCATTTGTACCGTTTGTGCCGTTGGTTGAGGCGCCGTTGACAGCGCTTTTCGTGGCACCAGGTTGCTTATCTCCCGCGAAGGCGTGGCAGGCCCTTGAAGAAACCATCCCACCGGCGGGACCAGCGTTCATGACATTGGTGACCCATTGCTTGGTCAGACCGTCGAAGTTCTCGTTCCAGTGTTCGCGCTCGTTATCATTCATGGCACTGTAGTCTTGGCCCTCGACAACAAAGGAGATGTTGTCAGGGAACTTGGACACTCTGACCCTTCCGGGGCGGATCTTGTCCGTCAAAGGACGAGCCTCGGGTACCGCAGGCAGAGGAGACTCGAACTTGTCTTCCGGGCCATCAGGGGTCATACGCGAGCGGTAGGCGCCCCAGTATCCCGTTTTCGAAGTGAGGGGGATCAACTCTCCGCAGTGACCGAAACCAGAAGGTTTCTCCTTGTTGGATTCGTACATTGATCTGGTGGCGGGCAAGCTCACGGTCTCTCTCCAGAAACCAGCATTCTCAGGCAGAGCGGCCCAGAAGGCAGAAGTTTCCGGGCTCTCCCACCATGCCTTGAAAACCTGGGGAGATTTCCAGTAGCTCATCCAGACCTTGGAGGGGAGGTCATTTTGCTCGAGCTCTTCGACATGAATCGCGGCGGCCTTGATAAGTCCGTCAAACTTGTTGATGAGAGCCAGCTTCTCCGGTGAAGGTGAGTCGGCGTGATACTGGCATCCGAAGATTGACACAGTGAAGTGATGGGCTGATGGGAAACGAGATCGAAGCATTTTGAAAATCTGCACAACGATATGCTAATGACTGGGGAGAAAATGAGGCGGCAATGAAGCCGAATGAAGGACCCTCGAGCCTTTATAGCGTAGCATAGCAATCCTACTCTCCCCCACCACAACAAGGACGGACAATTCGTAATGCAGATGTTCTCTCTGGGCAGCCTTTGGCTCAGCAGCTCTCAGCAGCTCCAGCCAACCATGCATCGAACACCCCCCCTTCTCATTCCTAATACGCGCAACCCAAATGCATGGCCATGCTCGAGATGGACCAAGATGGGGTATTCGTCTTGACATATGCAGGGTCGCAGTGTGGGCGGAGAGTGAAAGCCAATGGCAAGGGTAGAAGGAGGGGAGACGGAAGAGCTAGCCAAGGTCCTGGAACATCTTCACCGCCGATCAACAACGGTGCAACATCTTCAAAATGAGAAGCGGAGATGCGGGGCCCAGCCAGACTTGGACAACTGGGGTGCCCCGAGTTCTGCTTTGTTCTCCATCTCAAAGAAATCCCATCATCGAGAGTCCTAGTTACCGACCATTTAACCCCAGGGCAAGGTTATATTAGGCGACGCTCGGATCTCATTTCCTAAAGGGGATTCCCCTGCAACGTTTTCTGTCAAGTTACGACATTTCATCAAAACAGCCTCACTTGACCGGGAAACAGAACCCGCAAAATCGACAAGCTTATCAACTTGTCAACCTTTCGAAGTGCGAGAAAGCGATCCTGCGGAGACCGACTATCCAACATACTATGGATATCTTAAATTGGAATTCCAAATCTCTCCTTCGGCTAAGCAGTTGAGCGCTTACCGCGTTATCTTGACATCTTGACGCCCCACTTTCCAGAACTTGACAAGGATTTCGAATCCGAAACCGCATCAACTTGGAGTCCTGAACAAGTGAGCCCCTTGCAAACACTTCTCATCAGCAACATATTAGCAACAGACGTTCTCTTTTACTGGCGTTGATTTGAGATGTGACGAGTGTTGAACATCATATGTGCCTTTGCAGGCCGTTTGTCAGATTGGGCCCTCTGAACAATTCAGCTGACGACTCCGGCCGGGAAAATGAGCCAGGTGATTTGATTTGATGCCTGTGGTATACGTTGCTAGTTCGTACTGTTCTGTCAAGTGTAATCTAGGGCAGGGTGATGGCCCGATACGCAGCATATCTAGAAACAGAGTCTCAGGAGGGCCGGTCGCAGAAGAAAGGTGGAAGCCATATTGACTCAGGTACCTTAATTCAATCAGTCGATTTTTCCGTATCGCGCGAGGTTGTATGAGAGGCTGGCGGTGATTATTCCCCAGTGTTCTCTTCTTGCTTGTCCCACTGGACAGGAATTTGAGGAATCATCTGTTGAGAACTTCAGATGGTCATACATTTCGGGAAGTGATGTTTGAGCATCCTCTCTGGGTTTCATATTAGAATCACATGTCGTTGGTTTGGCACTGGACTATAACACGACGACTGCTGTTTCTGGGTGATGTGTTACCTTTTCTTCTTGCTTTTGTTTAACTCCAGATTTGACGTTGCACTCAAGTACCGTTCTGTGTGCAAAAGACAGATGTCTCTCGTCTAATGTAGTTTACACTAGAGATCCGGATAGCTTGACCTCCAGTCCTTTTCATCAAAGGCCAATGAAACTAAACTAGTCGAAAAACAAGATGTCGTCTTATCGAAATATTACTTTCCACTGCTGGTCAATTGCATGGTAAACTAGTTGCACAATGGCAAAGTATAATACTTGGGCTCACTGGCGATCAAAAAGTGAACCAAGCAAGTTCTATTGATTAGCTAAGAAATACATGCAGGCACTCGAAAGGCCGAGGTCAAGCTCGAAACAAATCTTATCGACACCTTTTCACTGTAATGGAAACATCAGGGTAGCATTGAAAATCTGATGGACCGAGGCCATTGCTCAATAAACATGGTTCTGATAAGAATAGATATGATACCTTTTGTGATGACGACTACCTCTAAATCTTGGCCACCAAGAGACAGGCCTCGGAGGGAATTTAACCTTTGGCTCAACGTTTCTTGGGATACAAAAGGTTACCAATGTTTCAAGGCCAACAGTGTTAATTGACAGCTACGATTAGATTTTGATTACAACGTGATTTATTCGAGCAATGATACAAACACCGAGACCCAATTTACAGACTGGGCTAAAATTGCTGATTCCATACCGGAGTCACCTAAGTAAAAGCTAACAAAGACAGGGCAGGTAATTGGAAATGGGATAGAGGCACTTCAAGCGAATCCTCTCGACAAGTGCTTCTGAAGGCTCAAACTGACTTAAAAGTCGCAAATCGATAAGTTATGAGACTCTTAAGGGCTTTATTTCGGATCAGCAGTCCATATACTCTTGCACAAGAGTTAGGAGTTGCCTGTGGAAAAATAACATTCAAGTCAATCGTCATTTCGAATTCTTTCAGAAACTTCTGTGGGAGTTACTCCGCAGAAACCAAAAGTAGTTGCTAGAGTGCAGAAGTAGTGAGGCCTATGATGCCTATTGTCGGTCGGAGGCCGGTGCTTCATACAGCAGTCAATAGAAACTAGCCGAGGCCCTTTCCCTACATTATCCTGGATACTTTTCCCTTAGATTCCCAGGGGTGAAGTGGTGTATAGATGTCTCAAGTGTCTCGGTTCGCTCAACTGGATCACACAATCTGTAGAATGCTAGGCTTCAGCCCTGGAAGCAGCTGAACCAAAATTTACTGGCACAGAAGAAGGCAAAAGATGTATTTGAAATGTCTGCAGACTTTGGTACCGTTTGAGCGGTGTCGGTCGTTTGATAGTAGTTGCTACCTCCGCCTTTGTGACAATAGGTCATGGCTTTGGGCAACACCAACTAGTCTGCAGCGTGAAATGCGGGCAGGACTTTGGGGCGACCTTTAATATTTTCGCGCATGACGGAACAAAGTGTCTAAAGCAGTATTCAATTGAGGGGATCGTAAAGCTAGAGGCCGTAGGAGTTTTGAAGTGACGTATCAGGGAAGGAATGCATGTGAAACGCGATGTTGGAGGCCTTCATGAATGCCACTTGTGACGGCGTAGCATTCAATCGCACCGCCTCTACTAATCCCAATTGCCGTCGGTATGGCCGGATGCCTCATCTGCCGGATATTCACGTGGTTTCAGCCCGCCAAGGATGAGTGAGAATGGCAGTGGCCTTCCAGCTTCGCCCGCGGTAGCTGTGTGAATACTTGGCGAATCAACTTCAAAACCTCACCTCCAGAACACCTTCTAAGAATAGGTGTCGATGAAATTGGTCATCTCCGTCATTATACTCAATATGGAGTGCTGTATTTGTAGTTGTATTCGAATGCCGATGCAGTATCTTCATCCGAAGAGGGCTGTGATGCATGAGGAGTGCAATACCTTGGACTTGGCAAGGGAAGCCCGATGGACAACGCGACCAATTTTAGCTTGCCCGTCGTTTCAATAGAAGAAAATGACATCGGCCTAGTGATGAGACCACTGAAGGACGCACCTCTAACAACATTCTGCAAGTTGGATAAGCTTAAAATCAACCACGCACCAACCTTGATGACAATCTTTCTAACAAGCATCAAAACTCAAGCTACGTATCTTAGCCCAACGCATCATTCTGGCACGAGCGTGTGATCATGCTCATCAGCCTACGACTCTGCCTGTCGGCGTTTCTCGCCCTTCACGTCACCACGGTACACTGCCTACCCTTCCAACTCAATCTCGCCCCAATCACGAAACACCTACCGACTCTATCGCCGCGCCAAGTAGGCAACGGCGTGAATGGCAACCAGACTGGCAACTCAGGTTCAATCAGCTCTGGAGGAATCGGCGATGGAAACGGCGTTGGGTTCGCCGGCACAGGAAATGACATAGACACAGGTATGAAGCTGGGCGACGATGGTTCCCCCAATTTCGAAGGCTCCTGCTAACGCTTCCTGTCTGTGCAGGCGACGACTTCGATATCGGGGACGGTAACAACACAATCGGCGATGGGAACACGATTGAAATCGGCGATCGCATTACAGAAGTAACAAATATCAATGTGGGATCTGGCAACCTCTCTGACATCGGCATAGGCTCCGGCAAAGGCGCCAGGAACTCTACGGGGAACGCGACGGAGATGAGCATCAACATTAACTTGCGTGTCATGGTTGAAGATGGTCGAGTGAGCGTTGGAGTTGTGTAATCTTGTCATCAATGAGAGACTCGGGTGAAGGAGTTCCATCCAAAACACGCTCTGAACCACCATGCAATAACGAAGACTAGTCAGTGTCCCATCTAATGTTGCATTCGACACTAGAAGCAATCCAGTCTCATTCAACCTAATCTACAGTTCACATTCAGCCTTCCTCTCCAATCTCTAGCATGTAATTGGTCTCGGTCCAGGGGCAGAGTACGCCTTGCCGCCATTGTTTGGAAGACCACCGGTGCCATAGATGTTGATGAAGATCGAAGGGTCGTTTTGCTGGTACGCGCCCGGGAAACTCACAGTCGAGCTGGGCGAAAAGCTTCCAGAGCCCGTGACCTTGATATTCGCACACGAGATATAGAACTGCGCACCCTTCACCTGATGAGCAGAGTGGAGAGCCAACAGCTCAACACGCAGCAGGTATTCCCCAGGCGCGATACACTGCGGCAAGTTGAAGTAGCTCCAGCCTCCATTATTAATCATCTTATCGACGCCCCATAACCCGGAGCTCGTGTCCAGATTATCCTCGGCGACCTTGAACCATTGAAGCCCTGTGATTCCGGTGCTGGAAGCACTGGGGACCCTGGTGAGCCAGGCGGTGATGGGGCCCTTGTGGGACTTTGCGATTGGGTTGTCTGGGTCGCCGGGGTACTGGGCGCCTCCGATGACGTGTTGCCACCAGGAGCCGATCTTGTCTCCGGGCGCGACGGTGATGACTTCCTGGGAGGATGTTGCGACTTTTCCGCAGATGATGTCTTGGGAGGTCACGTCTTCGGTTGGGTTGTTTTGGTTGGGTGCTCTGAGACCTGCTAGGGAGCCATATTCTTTGCCATTTACGGATACTTTCTGCGAGACAGTCGATGGTCAGCTCGGAGTTTGATGGAGGTTTGAGGGATGATTTTACCTGGAAGATGCAATGTCCTTGGGCAAGGGCAGCACACGCCGCTAGCAAGACCACTGTAACCTTCATCATGTGGCAACAGCCTGTGTGCGGAAGTCGGAATAAATCGAACAAGGTGTGTGTGAGATTAGCACGGTAAGGAAGAGAGACGATGGCTGAAAGAAGTTATAACACTAGCAGCACATTCCGGAAGTCGCGCAGATGTCGCTTGTTCTTGTAGAGAACTATTCGCAGGCATTGGCTCTTCTTCCCTTTCCACGGAGACACTTCCGAAGCCAAGAAGGCGACGCGGACCGATACCATCAGCACGGTAATTCAACCTCGGGGAAGAACAAATGGATTCCAGAGGCTAGTTGGTCATTGATCTGCCAGACGTGTTGCGTAGATTGATAGATCACACCCTGTGTTGCTCGCTTGCCTGTCGCAACGGAGGACTCGTTCCGCTCGAGAGTAACATCAATTTAGGCAGAATGTGTCCCGGCCATGGCGTAATCTAGTACTAGACGACTTGTAGGCCGAGTCAGTGGTGTTTGATTTTGAGATTAAAAGGCGCGGTTGAATTTCATAAAAGGATTTGCCCGTGGATCGAAAGTCCTGATCTCTTTGAGGCCCCTTACCACAGACCGAAAGAGCCTTGCTCAGAGTGAAGTGGCTGTCTTATTGATTGCCCCTAACACCTGGCCCTTTTGTGAATACCACTTAAGTTTAAGTCATACTGCGCCGCCTTCCATTTTCGTAACCTGGTCAATGAGGTCGACGACCGTTTGATCAAAAGTTCGGTACTCGAAGCCAAGCTCTCTCGCCGCCGTTTCCCCATCTAGCCCATGCGAAGTGTCGATCGCTTGTTCCTCCCGCGCAACCTTGCCCTTGGCCCAATAAAAGTTGTCCTCAATGATCTTGGCAGCTAAACCATATGAAAAACGATCCTTAGCGGCCGGAACGAACCTCCTGTTACCCAACTCCGGTCTAAAGAGCGATTCCGCGTGCGCCACCGCGAGATCTCTGACATCGATCCAGAACGGAACCCGAGCAACGGGCAGAGGCTTTTGTCCGGTTGCAATTTTCCAAAGCATTGCGTTTGACTCGTTCAATTTGTCGGCGTTGCTTACTGGGTGGACCACGGGACCGAACGTCATTGGCGGACACAGCGTTACGATATCGAAGCGGGGGTTGTGTTCTTTTATAAAGTCCCATGCGGCTTTTTCAGCGAATTTCTTGGAACCTCGATAGGCAACTACGGCGCTTGTTTTCGGAGATGCGGCCTCTTCGTAGGTCAAGGGGTTCCAATCTTCACCCGTGTATGTAAAGTATGGTGGCGCTTCGCGGTTGACATCGAGGACGGAAGCGAAGGAGGAAGTGATTACTACTCGAGTAATATTGGGGTTGGTGACGGCTGCTTCGAGAATAGAACGCACTCCGTTGATAGCTGGTATAATAAGTTCCTTTTCGTTATTCTTGGTGTCGTAGGTAAATGGCTGAAGAGAACAATTAGCAAGAACTCTGAGATGACGATCTCCATCATTTGAAGAGAATCCTCACACTGGCGACGTGAACCACGGCATCGACATCTTTGACGGCCTCGGAGAAGACCCCAAGTTTCTCAAAGTCGTCAATTCGGACAAAGTCGAGCTTGCCGGCGTACTCGGGCCGATCTTTTATCATTGCATTCCCTTTGGCCAGAGATCGGGTGGCCCCGCGGACCCTGAGTCCCCGGGACAGGAGAACGTCTACGACGTGCGCACCAATGAATCCTGTAGCGCCAGTGACTAAGACATGGCTCCTGTGAACGTGATGTGGTGAGCTTGGGCTTCTCATACTCTTGGCAGGATTCTATAGCAAGTATATGTACTCACGGTATGCTCGACATGTCGGAGGCCAAGGGGTCCGAAGCTGAGGGTCACGGGCCTGTCGAGGAAAGAAGAAGGCCGGCGACTTGGTTTCAGGTCTTGGATTATTCGTCAACCGTAAAGAAACCTTTGGGCAGACGTGGCAACGGGATTGATGAAACCAAGCACGTAGTTGATAGTTGGTGAGATGAATGGGCGCCTAATTTCTACAGCGTAAGGCAAAATGCCCCTCACTCTTCGGCCAGCTTTACCCCGACTTGGCGTCGGCCTTTGTAACGAGAGCCTGGGGTGTCGGGTATCATCTGTCGCGACGGAGTTTGCTAGCTCCTCTTCTCGAACATCTGAGAATCAGAATGCGTAAGCAGAACGATAAATTGACGCTGAAATTCTGTCGCTTTTGGTTGGGTCGCTTTGGGTTAGAAGAGAAATGCCCGGAGACTCTGATATGTTTGTTTCCTTTCTTCGTTTGCGACGACCAGGGGAAAGGGCACTTGCCGTGGGCCCACAATACCTGACCGCTGTCAGTCTCGACTGCCAAGATCACATCACCAGACTCTGCCAGCCAGGAGTCGACGTACGAGATGAGTGCAAACTCTGAAGAAGACTCCTTGAACTAGGGCATCCCACAACGTTGAGCCTACCCTTAGACGACCGCAGGCCCCTGAGAATGGAAAGGTAAGGTAAGGTACGACCGATCCATCAGGAGCACGAGGTACGTACAGAGTGGGCGGCCCGCTGATGTGCACGTGCATCGGCCACACCCTCACGCATCTCTGACCAACGAGAATCCACAAGTGACATTCAACCCAACGTCTGGTAAACATTAAAATGCACTTGGGCGAATATCTCGAGAGCGGTGCCATAATTCACCTAAAGGTCGTCCACTGCGGAATATCATTTGGGGCTTGTATGAAATTTTTCTTTTCGACATTTGTCTTTTCTCCTCAAGGACACTGCATAAGCTGTTCAGAAGGGTGAAATAAAAGTTACAAGGTAAGTCTCCTCTCGTAATTACCTCATAGAAAACCCGCACGATTTTGGGCCAAAGAAAAAACAAAAACCCACAAGGTAGCCTTCACAGAGAATCTGCCTCATATTCATACCAGATTCCATATGTAAAAGTCTATCGTCGAAGTCATCGTCCGGTGTCCACATCAATGGGAGTGAGGAGAATACTGAAAACCACGCTGACGCCGAGATGTGTTTCCGTTAGGTCAATGTTTATGGTCGAGGCTTTTAGAGTACCACGGTGAGATCAAGGCTTTCTGGTAACTTTAGCAAAGAAAAGGTATGACCTTCAAATTCCATGGTGAGGTAGGTACCTTATATTGAGCAATATGGCGTCTGAGTCCCAGTTTGTTCGTTTAGGTGGGTCCATCCGAGGAAATATTTTGCGAGAAGGAGGCACCTCAACGGTTATCTGTCAGCGCCTTCCCCCTTCGCACGTCACAGTCCACGGATATGTACCAAGCTATCATCCGATGGACAATAGCCTTCATATACCCCCTCGACTCTGATTCTGTCACCAGCACAGCAGGCGACCCCTAGGCCGGGGTTCAGGTCAAACTGTGGCGTGGTGGTGGAAAGGTTTATGGTCAACAATCAATTCGCCAACCAGCCTACTCGACGACAGGCTAAGCGCATACGAGAGTACCCGAGTTCGATTCCCAGCCTGAGCACCAGATATTTCCCAGCATGAGCACCAAGAGATGTAGCCCCCAGTCCAGCACCGGGGGGGCGAACTCTTTTGTTATTCAGACCTTTGGGTCTTTGGTTTTTGGTAAATGTTTTGCTCTGATTAATCAAGTGGTGGTGGATAACGATAAACTCAAGATTTCCTTGGTGAGCGTCTTATGCTCGATCGTATCTCTTGTGCTTGTTCAAATTAGAAAGCTCTTTGGGAATGCAAGGACAAGTTAGAGGTAGGTAGGGTATAAAGTTGGTCGTTCCCTTTCCTTCCTTCCATTTTTCGACGGCTGATTCCCTGGGCAGCTCCTTCCTACCCTGACGTTTACTTGCTGCGTCACGTGCAGTAGTCTAACCTACCTGAACTTATTTTGGGAGACGTCAAAGTGATGCCCCGCATCTCCTCCAGCGGAAATGAACATCATAACCTTCGTCTCATCCGCCTCTCATCGGTGCTTTCATCTCGCACACTGTCCATCACAACACACCAGTATTCTCTCACTTTCATTCAAATTAGATCTTCTCTCCGTATTTCAACTCGAACAAGCAACGCATTCGCTTCGCATCAACTGCGCGAAATGGCATCCAAGAACAGAACCGCGTCCGACACACACGATGATCTCGCCCCTCAGCCTTGCAAGAAGAAGACCCGAGTCCACAGCCCCGACAAGACCTCCAACGTCAATACTGGCATCTCGAACGACACAAGGTCCCCTGCCAAGGCCGATGAGATTACTTTGCCCCGTCAGATGAAGGACCACCCCAAGCAGGGCTACAAGAGAGATGACTCCAATATCCCAGAGAACCGAGTATGATGATATTCCCCTTCCCTTCTCATTAAAATAACCAATACTTCAAAGGAACAGAGTGAGACTTGAACTGACTGGCTGGAAACTCACTAGGGCCAGCTAGAATTCACCACCTCGGGTTCGTCCAAGCCCAACAATGAGATTCTGCCAAGCATCGTCGACGATGTTGCCTACGATGCAGATGATGAGAGCGACATCAAGTTCATTAATGCCGAAACTTACTACCAGTTTGAGAGGGCTCAGCGCATGATGATGTACCGCTGCAACCAGGTCGAGATTGACCTCGGTCACCAGTCGCCATCAACAGAGGCGTCTGGCTCTTCTATGGAGTGGGAGCCTCTTCAAAGCCGTCTGGAGACGATTCCAGAAGAAGATTCGGAGCTTTCTTCATCTTCAGTGGCAGACGAATGGGTCTGGCCTGAACGAGTCGACATATCCGAGGGTCTTGATTTTCACTTCAACTAGCTGGGCCTTCACCTCGCCAATCGTAAGCCCTAACAGTGCCAGTGTGCAGCGAGCCCAAACGCATTCGTTGGGCAAGGCTTCAGGATCGCGCCTTCACTTTGGGAACACAGCATAAGGATTCATCCATGGCAGACCTTTGGGATGGGGCAATGCGATACTTTGCGTTTCGGCCTCTGTGGTGGAACAGTCTTGAACCTGGTTGGAGTTATTCACGAGCACTTATGTAAGCCCACTCTTTGGCATTAGAACTGTGTACAAAGGCAGCGTTGTAGCCAAATTCTTCTCAAAGGGGAGGTAAAAAGCTTGTATCAATCAAGAAAGGGCCTCTTTGACTTTTGTTCTTGCTAATAGAACATGAAAAGTTACTTTGCTAGCCACATCGTTGAGGTATCACCCTCAAATCAGAGTCAATAGGCGAGTGTTCAACTATGGTAGGTAGATAGTCAACCGCAACTACCTTAGACAATCCCTCCAAGTTTTCTTACATCCTCTGACCTAACCACACCCCAACACCACTCACTTGCCTTCTTCGCCTTTTCAGAACCGACCTGAAGCGCCGCCTGCGTGATGAACTTCTCCGTCAGCTGGTCATCAGACATGGGCACCTCGACACTTCCAAGGGCATGGTCGACGTGCTTCTCAATTAGTTCCTCAACACCGCGCAGCTTGACAACCAAATGACACTCATCGGCCCTCATAGACTCGGCGACGGTCGCATCAAAACGGTCTCTCAAGCCAACAACAGGCGCGCCGGTGACAAGCGCGTCCTCGTACTCAACCACAGTAGCCCTCCCGAACAATAAGCCTACCGCGCCGCCGTGGTAGACGCTGAACTTAGCCTCAAGACCATCCTTTGGTGTCTTCTTGCCAGTGAGCTCGAGTACGAGAGGATGAACAGTCACGCCGACACTCGCGACCTCCTCCGCGGAGATACCTCGTCTCTCTAATTCATGATGCAACCATACAGCGCCCGTAATGACCGGATGGATAACAATACCACACGGAAAAGGCTTGAACGAATTCTTCTCAATCTCCCACTTCCCTGGCCCTCCCTGTCCAAGACTCTGGACAAGCTCATCCAAGTTTTCCTTCGTACTGACGACCTTGGCCCAGCCCCGCCCAGCTTCCAGTGCCTTGGGCGAACTCGTGAACCCCTCGGCGGCTAGGACCGCGGCAAGAAGCCCGTTCTGAGCGGCGCGTCCGACGTGGAAGGACTTGGTGTCTGAGCCGAACATCTCGCGGAGACCCGTGACTTGCGTTGCGGCGATGCCGATGGCGTGGGCTGTTTTGTCTGTTGGGAGGGCGAGGAGCTTTGCGATGGCGGCGGCCGCGCCGATGGAGCCCGTTGTGCTTGTAATGTGCCTTGGAAGAAGTGTTAGTCTCTGCAGTATTGTCTGCGTGAGGAGAGCGAGAGGACATTACCACCCGATGTCATAGTGCTCTGGGTACACGGCCAAGGCGACCCTGCACTCAACCTCGATGCCGGCGACCAACGCCGTGATGAATTCCTCCCCCGTGACCGGGCGCTGCATCGTCTCGGCGAAACTCAGCAGCGCGGACGCGACGCATCCAGTCGGATGGACAATCGTCTCGAGATGCGTGTCATCGTAATCATGGACATGCGACGCGATGCCGTTGATGAGAGCAGCGTGTTGCGCATCGATGCGTCGATTAGATCCCAGCACGGAAGACGTCTCTTTCCCAAAAAAGGGCGAGAGGGCTTTGAGTGCGGTCAGGGTTGTCGGATGCGCGCTTCCGCCGATGGCGCAGCCGACCCAGTTGTACAAGGAGCGTACGGCTGCTTCTTTGACGCTCTGGGGGAGGTCGTCGTATGTGAGTGAAGCTATCCACGTCGCGGTGCTGAGGGTTGCCATGATGACGTCATTTGGCTTTGGAGGAGTGTGCTTCTGGGCTCGATGTGCTCTGGTTGATGTTTGATGTTTTTTATGAGTTTATGAATGGTAAATGAAGGGTCGTCCGTCGGAGCGAGGTCGGCGGTCCAGAAGAGCCGGTAATTAATGATGGCGCGGATGTATGTGCCGCGTTATTGCCGGTTACGATACCGCAACACCACATAAGGTAGTCGGAAGATCGAGAATGGCGATGCGAGTAGAAGTATCGACACTCATAAACAGTGAATCTTTTTACAATCCACCGGTATCGATGCGGACTAGATTCTACCTACCTTGTCACCGGTCAAAAACTCCCTTGATGCTTCTCCGTTGCTCAGTTGTGCTACATGATGATATCTTGGCGGCGTCGCCATAAGCGATTGAGGCGTGCAGCCCTCGCTTGTTTGCGGGTATCGCTCCAATAAGGATCAAGCTACCGCCTTACAAACATTTCAATGATGGTCCGAAGACCTCATAGCCGGAACGTAGTCCTTTGTTAAAGATAAATGTGACACGGTCTCCCCTTGATCGTGAAAAGTCTGGTGGGCACTCAAGGTCGGACTTTCTGTTTGTCGGTGCACTGTGTTTGTTCTTTTAGGCTTGTCGTGCTTCACCGCCCACCACACTGTGATCAATCTCGCTTTATTATCAGCCAAAGGAATGAGAAAGCTGAATACTGATCTCACTGGTATGAAGTACGAGCTGAACGGTAGAATTATTCACTTGCTCTGCCTCTGGCGTGGACAGCGCTTGATTGGGCGGTAGGAAACGTAAGAGGGCTAATTCCTGAAAGAAGACTGTTTATACATTGCTGAGAGTCCAAAATAGAGTATCGCAGTAAGATCCCTAGCATTAGAGCACTAGAGGTGTTTATGGTCATAGGTATAAAAACTCACTGCGAGCAATGGCTTCGTATCAGTGCAGTCTCGAATCGAAGTGTCTGGTAGGTAGACTAAAACTGGAAATCGACCATCCGGAACCTCGACCTTCACTATCAAGAAGCAGTAAATCAACAGCAAAATATGAGTGGTAATCGCGGCGCTTCGGATTTTACGGGGAGTTCCGACCCCAACAAGGTTCCGGGGCCGTTCGATGTTGAGACTCCTCAATTATCTGAAGAGCAAAGAACTCGGCTTCGAAGGGATTCTGACGCTTTGAGGAATAGGGTCAACTTCGTTGTGAGTTGTTCTATCCTCCCGCCCCGGATGAAAAGTGTTTTGGAGGGAATGCCGTCTCCAATCTGTGTTCGAGAGTTTGTTGCGCTAGATGATGGCTACTAACTGTCCAGCAGACCGGCGAGAGTGCGATGCAGGCAAGGTTGATGAGCCAAATTTCTCCGCAGGCGATACAAGACGAGAGCGGGTCGGAAGGAGAGTCCACGGCCAAAGCCATGGTGAAGACCCGTGCCGAGCAAGAGGAAACAGAAGCACAGCGGCAGCAGAGTCAAGAGCCTCAACAAGATCAGGCATCTGAAGAGGTTTCGGTTACATCCGACTCGGAGGACTACGAGTCCTTCAGCAATGAGGAGAAGAGCAAAGGATCCGGATCCGGGTCGGGGTCGGGGTCCGGTGCCGAAGAGACTGGTGGCCTGGGGAGTAGCAATAAGAGGGCCCCCGGGTCTGATGTCGATGATCCCGATGACCATAAGCGGCCGAGAGCTTCGTCACAGTGATTACATGACATAAGCTAGGGTATGAGCCTGCAGCAGGAAGTGCATAACTGGAAGTAACAAAGTCCTCTACCTCGGATAGCGAACGAAAGACTCTAGGAGTTCATATCAGAAATCACCTGAGATAATTGGTGACCGGTCAAATATCAAGCGCCATTTTGCTGTTAAAGGTTTATATCTCTAAAAGGCCTTATAGAATCGTCCTGATGACTTCAATACTTACTATCGGTGTCTCAAAGCCCCTAGCGCGATTCTGAGCGACATGTATCTGACCGGCTGTTCTCCTTCGGGGAAACAGTCCATGCACCCTCTCAAGAGTAGTCATCCGGTCGTCGGCCGTTGACAAACTTCCAAAGTCGGCTGACCTCATACACCTTGAGTCCTTCAATCACGCCATTGAGCTGATGGTGAGCAGTACCGTCAACACCATTTGTGAGATTGCGCTGCTCATCAATCTTCCAAGGATCATTGCGAACCTTTGTGCGGGACGCCATGAAGGTGCCCGGGAGCGGAGAACCATCCCCATTCGTCTGAACCTTGCTCAAGTTATCGTCAAGAGGAAAGATATTGTCAAGATAGTGCTGGTTAAACTGATGACCGGAACCAGTTCGCTCAATAAGTGCCCCCTCAAACTCATTCCAGTCCGGACTGAGGTGGTTCGCCTGCTTCGGCTCTGTCTTACCCACGGCCTTGATGACTTCCGTCTTCTTGTTGACGGAGATGAGACCGGCGATTTCACCGAGACCGAGGAAGCGTCCATCTCTCTTGGCAGTCTGTTTCTTGAAGTGGAGGACGCCCCATCGAGAAACAAAGTCTTTTGAGTTGGCGTAGTGCTCGATGTGGCGAATGGCACGTCCCTTGGGCCTGGGAATACCGTGTTCCCTCTTTGTGCGAGGATTGTTGAAGTGGTTTGCAGCGTTACCGAAGGTGTAGATCTCGAGCTTCTGTAGGACCTCGCGGGGGTGTTGATTGATGAGCCAGTCTAGGATGATGCTTCCTTCAAGTCCGCCTTGAGAGTGAAGAATTAGGATGACTTTCTTCTTGTCTTGGTTGAGCAGGGCGGTGGAAATGTGCGAGAAGCAGACTCTGGTGTCGGTGGTACCAAAGTAGAGGCAGCGCTCCAGGAGGCATTGAATCACATCAAAGATGATGCCAGCACTGGTAAACAATGTCAGTGTGTGTCCCGATAGCATGGAGTCTGTGTACTTACGTCTTATTGTGTACACCTTTCACCCTTCGATGGAAGGTGACGGAAATCCGGTCGATGTTGCTCTGAAGCCAGTTTTTGCTGTAGGTGTATGCTTAGTTCATGCAATGAATGTTCAACGAGGAAGTCCTCTTACCCGACAGCAACACCATTGAGAAAGATCCACTCTTCTTCGGGGTGGTTTAGCTCCCACTCTCGTGCCGAGGGAGTATCGGCCGACCAGATGAATCCTTCAGGCATCCAGCCATTAAGCCCGATGCACGCCAAATAGTTAATACCAACGAAAAGGCCTACATACGCAACGAAGACGTTGAAAGAGAAGAACGAGAGGAAAGGCAGGGACATCAGGAAGGCTGATTGAGTGACGATGAGGATGGAGTGGAAAATGATGTCACGAATATTGCTCCAAGAGGGATACAGCTCGTCCATGGGCCCAGAATGGAAGTAGCGCTGAGCCCATGCTTCGAATCGACGATGGAGCTGGCTCACGAGAAATCGAGGCTGCTCTTTGAATCGGTTGTCGACTCCGAGATTGAAGGAGCGTGCCGGAGGCTGTGACCAGAGTGGCAGGACAATGCATGGTAGGAAAGCAATGTTCTTGAGGAATAGGAGCAAGTCGCTTGCGAGAAGGGTCCACGGTGCGCCGGTGTAGTAGTACGGCTGCTTGAGAAATGGGTCGGTGCCGTTCCATGTTACATCTGCTCCGCGGCTCTTTTTACGGAGACGGATGTCCGAGCCGGTCCGGACTTCGAGCTTCTTCTCGTTGACATCCTTGGGAAGGGAATAGGTGACTTCGACTGCCGCCATCTTTGGAGGTACGCACAGCTAGTAGTCTTGGTGAAATAAGTTGTCAATAGGAAGGAAACCAGATAGCCGGGATGCCGCCAGATAGCTGGATCAAGTACTGCTTTTAATTCTCTTGGAAGGTCATCTGAAGTCTGGAGAAGCTTCAACTTTTGGGACTGTTGAGGCTTTCCTGATGCCCTAAAATGCCAGACGTGATGGCCACCGGGGAGGAATTTCAGGCAAACCTTGATGTCTTACTTTCACATGCTGTAAGTAACAAGATTTTTCACGTGTCGCGTCCGTAAATTTGATGCTTTTGACAGTGCTCGAATGATTGAGGCTTGAGAGTGAGGTTCCCGTGGTCCCGGCAGTCGTGCTTACATGAGTGCAGGGTTGGAACAAAGTTTCCACTACATTTCTGCCAGTGATGAACCCAACAAATGGAGCGGTGTTCGACTGAAGATGGCACAGATGGCTTTCTGACCCTGAATTTGCTGCAGATCCGAGCGCCTCAGGGCTGAGTGTGAGAGCTGGTATGTTGGATATCCCTTGACTTGGCCCCTCAAGACAATCGCAAAGCTAGTACCAACGAGCTGAAAGCTAGTCGGATGATCCCCAATCCCACCTTTGAGACATCGTCGGAGCTGCGAAGCTCGGAGCTATCTCCACCAGCATGCTGCCCCTCCTGTTTACGCACGCTTTACGCACGCTTTTTGAAGAATGACTACCCCAAATCCGCTTTCGATCCGGTTGCGGGCCGCTAGACCTCCCGTCTGCCTGCATGCATTCTCATATTCTGGATTATCTAGATGATAAGCACCCCGAGCCAATTGGGTGAACCCAAGAGCATGCAATGTTTCGCCGGTTTATCGCGACCATCTTCTGCCCCCGGATAGAAGAGAAGCGACTGGTCCGTCTCAGTTGCCCGTTGAGCCACTTCGGCATCTAGTGAGACTCCCGGCGGGAAACCGACCAATCATCAGACCTGCTGGGCTACAGTCACATCACACTGGGGATTAGCATGAGCTGGGAAGCAGAGTCCTCGTTGAAATTCGATCTTCTGTCGGCATGCCCTATCGCGGCTGCGCCCTTCCGGTGGAGATTGCCCTGCGTGTGGTGGTATACAACTAGTGTGCAAATAGTCTCAGCGCCCGTTAAGAAATGTAAGTCCGCAGAAACTCACCCAAAAAGCCAGCGGCAAATACCTAATCATTCTGAATTCAATGTCGTCTTTCAGATTTAGTGAACATGAGTAACCAACCTCCAATCGCCACGACTCGACTCAAAAGTTATCAGTTCTCAACCATTGGGTCTTTCAGTAACAGAGTTGGGGTTCTCGACTATTTTACCTGCTCGACAACGTTGTTGCTCGGCTTACTTTTGCCTTCAGAACGCACATACCACCTCTGATGAGTGTCTTGCAAGAACATATGCAAGCAAGCCACATTGAGAGACGTCGTGTAATTGTTTACATCCTCAAGGACAATTCTTACTCCAACCACATACAGACATAGGGCTAGTTACCCCATCAACAACCAGCACGAAGTGTCTCTCGGATGATTGCGAACATTCTCCCGTCTCATCCGAGTGAGACTATCCGCATCCGGTCATATCATGAGAAGATAGAGGCAGTCAACATTTTGTATGCCAGGAAAGCATGTGAAAGTCGCGAGGACCCTGTCCACCGTTGAGAGGAGTTTTTGCACACAAGCTGTCGTCGACGGGAATATGTTGACTGTCTTTGCCCGTCTGGGGAAGCCGCTGCGGGCCGAAGATACTTGCCGGCGCTTGTCCTTATAAGAAGAAACCATCATCCACCAGACGGCCAGGAAGATCAAGTGTACATGTAAGTAATCCGACCTTTCCTTCTCTCCCTCGGAAGGGCGGCACATGGAACTTCTTAGCGCTCTTTGACGACAAGAGGCTACTGCTACGAACAAGATCGCGATGGAGGGCACCACGGAGCCCAACGGTTACGACCACCAGCAGATCAACGGTCTCAACGGCGACTCCAACGGTCGCACCGAGCCTGACTACACAGAATCATTCGACGCCCCCTACCCGGCCACGGAGCCCCACGAGGGTCACCGCCAGGCCAGTGACACATTCGATCCTGTGACTGGTGCATACCCGCGCATCTCCCGCCCCGTTGAGCTGATCCGCCCGTCCTATGACGTTGTTGTCATCGGTTCTGGATACGGTGGCGCCGTCGCCGCCAGCCGCATGGCACGTGGAAACAAACAGGTTTGCTTGCTCGAGCGTGGCAAGGAGAAGTGGCCCGGCGAGTTCCCCTCTGAGATCGTCCCAGCCGTGAAGGAGCTTCACACTACCAACGCAGCGACGGATGGTCTTCTCGGTGCTCTTGGAAAGTTGGGCACCGGCGGTGATCCAACTGGGCTTTACCATCTCATCGTTGGCGATGGTCAAAATGCCTTTGTAGGCAATGGCTTGGGCGGCACGAGTTTGCTCAATGCGAATGTTTTCCTTGAAGCAGATGAAGGGGTTCTCAACCTGCCTATCTGGCCCAAGGAGATAGACGCAGGGGAACTGAAGAAATGTGAGTTGTCATCTCCCTGTCACACACGAATGTCATAAAGACTCTAACACCTGGAACTTCCAGATTACAAGCGCGCTGCCGGTGTCTTGGAGCCTAAAAAGTATCCAAAAGACTTCCCCAAACTACACAAGCTGGAGACCCTCGAGAAGCAGGCTAAGCTCATGGGTTGGAGCGAAAAGTTCGACCGTGTACCCCAGACCACCCGCTTCGAGGATGGAGAGAACAGCACTGGTGTCTACATGCGTGCCTCCACGCTCAGTGGCCAAGACACTACCGGCCTCAACGACGGCAGCAAGTCCACAACTCTGGTGAACTATCTTAGTGACGCCTGGAACTGGGGTACCGAGATGTTCTGCCAGTGTGAGGTCCGTTATGTCACGAAGGCTAAGGACCGCGAGGGCTATATCGTTCACTTTGCGTGGCACGGTGGGAAGCGCGCCAACTTCAAGGACCTTTTTTACGAGGATCTGATGTGGGTGCACGCCAAGGAGCTGGTTTTCTTCGGCGCTGGTAGTATCGGAACTACCGAAATTTTGCTCCGCAGCAAGCAATTTGGTTTGGATATGAGTCCCGACGTTGGGCACGGCATGAGTGGCAACGGTGATATCCTCGCTTTCGGGTAAGTGTGAGACGCCTTCTTCTAAGAATGCAGTCGACTAATTCCATCGTGAAGCTACAATACTAGCGAGTATGTCAACGGCATGGGACGCGAAGATCCCCCACCAAACCGTCCCGTTGGGCCGTGTATCACTGGTATCATCGACTGCCGGAAGGGCCTGGACAACCCTCTTGATGGCTTCGTCGTTGAGGAGGGTGCTATTCCTGCCGCCCTCGCGCCCTTCTACCAAGCAATGCTCACGTATTTGCCCGGCAGAGTGTTCCCCGATAATATCTCCATCAAGGGCGCAGTCGGTCACGTAACTGCAGCTGTCGGCAGTCGCTTCTTCGGCCCCTACTTCCCCGATGGAAGCACTGAGAAGACGCAGTGTTATCTCATCATGTCGCACGACAGTAAGTCTTTCTCATCGCGTTTGGCGGTAACTGGTCTAACTAGGTCATCTCAGGCAGTCAAGCAACCATGCAGCTTGACAAAGACAGACCGCTCATCAACTTCTCCGGCGTTGGCAAGTCGCACAGAGCCAAGAAGCTGGCGGGCTACTTGGCCAAGCTGACCAACCTGATCGGCGGAATCTACGTCGACAGTCCCTTCTACGCCGCATTTGGTGAGAAGGAGATCACTGTTCATGCCATGTAAGGTGAACCCATTTTGTGCAAAGACGGGGTTCTTGCTAATACTTGACCAGTGGTGGTGCTCGTATCAGCAACGACGGAACTGGCGCCAGCGGCGGCGTGAACCACAAAGGCCAACTGTTCAAGGGCACTGAAGGTGAGGTCCATGAGGGCTTGGTGGTTTGCGACGGATCCATTGTTCCTGCGGCTCTTGGTGTCAATCCTTTCGCGACAATTACGGCCCTCGCGGAGAGATCTGTTGATAAGATCGCGGATGACTTCCATATTAAAGTCGATCTCAAGACAAAGAATGGTAAATATCCTTGGTTCCTTAATCCAAATATTCAGTCTGTCTCGATTGTACTAAACAACCATAGGCTCTCTAAACCTGTTTGGCAAGCCGGCACACGACCCCTTCGAGGGCGAACATCCGCCTGTGGCCAGAGTGCAAGAAATCATCAACACAGCCAGAGATGACATGACTCCTGGCATTGCCTTCACCGAGACCATGGACGGATGGATTCACTTCGGAGAAGATTCCAAGACATTGGATTTCCAAAGAGCCACCTTGACTGCAAAGAGCCGGGGCGAATATGCCCGTTTCTTCCTCAGTGCTAGGTCATGGAACACTCACAACCGTAAGCCTTCACCCACATACCTCAATCTGCTCCCATACTTACAGAAGTACACGTAGTCGTCCACGACAAGGAACACGAAGCCAACCTTACCGGCACCTTTACTTGCCCCACTCTGGGTGGCACATCTATGGTCCAGGGCGGCAAGTTCAACTTGTTCAACGACGACCCGAGATCGCCTGACACCTCCAACCTGACTTACAACTTCCTGATATCCCAAAAGGATGGCAAGAAGTTGCACTTCAATGGCTACAAGGTCGTCAACTCAGACGTTGTCTTCAACCCTGTCAACCTCTGGAAAGCCACGACCACTCTCTACTGCACTATTACTGAGGTTGACGAGCATGACCAGCCCATTCATGAAGAGATTCGCGGTAAGGGTATCATCCACATCCGCCCCACAGCCTTCCTTCAAGAATGCACAACCATGGAAGCAACCGGATCCAGCCTCTACGCCAAGGTCTCTTCAACCGCCAACTTCCTCGGATACTTCACCGCCAAGGCAGCTGGAGCCTTCCTCACACCTTTTATCCCTCAGATCTGGCCCAGCCTGCCTTTCAACAGCTACCAGAACCCCACACCCTGGTCGGAAGAGATCACAGTGGAGGCCAACGACCGCGTCAAGACGAAGCTCTACATGTGGGAGCCGCAGACTATTGGTGGGGACGCAAGCAGGGCCCCGATTGTTTTGTTCATCCCTGGCGCCGCCGTCGACCAGCAGATCTTTGCTTTGCCCACCATTGAGAAGAATGCGGTCAACTACTTCCGGGCTAAGGGGTACCGCGTGTACTCTATGGTACACCGCGTCGGCAAGACCATTGTTGCTCAACAGAACTGGACCACATACGACGCCCGTCGCGATATTCAGGCGGCTCTCAGGAAGATTCGCAAGAGGCACGCCATAATTGACAGGCTGGACGGTAGCGGCCCCTCGTCACCGACGTACGTCGTAGCGCACTGCGCTGGATCTATCGCTCTTGCTTCAGGTCTGCTTGACGGAAGCATCCCTAGGCAATGGCTTAGCGGTGTCACCGCGTCCCAGGTCTTCATGAACCCCAAGTTCCCCAAGGTCAACCACGTCAAGGCTAGCCTCCCCATATCCATGGCCAACATCTACAATCTCATCCAGGGCAAGTGGTTTGACTGCACCAGCACACCTCGCGATGGATATGTCCAGCAGGCTATTAACCAGTTGCTTCGCTTCTATCCCGTTGGTCACCGCAACGAGATCTGCAACTCTGTTGTCTGCCACCGCAGCTCTCTTGCTTTCGGCCGGTTCGTATATCCCAACCCTTTTCAGCCTCCACCATGATTGACATTTTCTAGGCTCTGGTCCCACAAGGGACTCAACGAGGCCACTCACTCTCAATTAGAGAACTTCATCGGTGGTGCCTCAATGGCGAACTTGAACCACTTGATGTACCAAGGCACCCACGAAGTCGTGACCGACTCGCAGAACGAGAGCCTCGTCACACCGCAGAACATCGCCCGCCTCAAGGGTCTGCCCATTTTCCTCTTCTCTGGATCTGAGAACGAGGTTTACGCGCCCGAGAACACCGACACATCCTTCACCACCCTCACGGAGGCTAACGGCGGCGTCTGCTACGAGAGACAGGTGTTCCAGAATCGCGGGCATTTGGACGCCTGGATGAGCCCTACCGCCCACAAGGACATCTTCCCGCGTGTTGAGCAGCACATCCAGAATGTCCTGAACGACAAGTATTCGCGACTTGAAAGGTTTGCATCAGGCAACCCGCTGGGGTTGAAGAAGTGATGCACACTGATTTAATAATCCTCGAGGCCATCAAGCTGGCATTGAGGGGCGTACTTGGTGGTTATTCTTTGAAGGGGCTCGCAAGTTTGCCAAATATTTGGATGTTCGTCTCCCAAATCCGGGTAATTTTCTTTGTCAACCAAAATAACCACATGTACCATAATTCAGGTACAGGAAGTAATACCACAGTAATACCACATTGCCTCGTGCACCATGACTAAAACCTTGGGCGCTTAAATCCTGTCACTGCCCCTGTTGCTTTTCCGCGGAGCAAATGAACACGAACTTGTTAAGACTATCACCTGTCAATCCAACCATCCTCGGGTTTAAGAGCCGCAAGGCAGAATATCGGAACCGGAATTGAACGATTGAATAGTCCTTTGAGCTGCCGGGGTAAGTCATCTTCGGCCTGCAGCAGATTGCGAAAGTCAAATAAACATCAGACAAGATTGGCCATCCCACACAGCCGTTTGCTCGTCTGGAGTCCCGACGAACGTTCCATGTGAGAATGAGCGTTACGTCTTGCCTTTTTCGGGGTCACCTTGGCACCCAAACCTCTCAGCTCTCGTCGTATTGCCAAACATGAACTGTTGTTTCTTGTTTGTGGGGAAATGCAGCCAAGAAGTCAATGGTGCTGGCATTCCTTGACTTCTCCGTGCCGGCACCGAATTGAAGATTAAGATAACGCAAGGAAATAGAGCTTCAGAAGTTGTTAGTTATCCGATAGCTGATGAAAACAATCTCTTCGGAATCCGGCAAAGATACTCGTCTAGAGCCCGGCCGGAGGTGATCCGGGAACCATTAGCCTGGACACAGCGGAGCAGCGGAGTGGGGCCGTGCGTGATCGGAGGCGGGGAGAAATCAGGCCGATGGATGGAGACCCGTAAACCCCGAGAGTCCGATGGCCGTGAGGATGAAAACGGTTTCATACGTGGGATGAATGACGCATTGGATGTAGCTGAGAGCTGTGGTGGTTGTGTGGCTTTCTGGTAGCTTTATCCATAGCTCAAGCTCGTACACACTGGCTTAGCTCGATTCTAGCTTTGCATAACTCTGCATAGCTTGCGAGCTCCCACACCCAAATCACCTCATTCATCATGCGACAAGTCGATGATGAGGTGAAGTTCTGGAAGAGAACTGATGGTGCTTGAGGCCGCAGCGACAGCTTGAGCTGCTATTTGTTCTCGCGTGGAACGGGTTCCCACCTCGCCCTCGCCCACCGTCTGGTCGTGCCTCTCCGGCTCGTCCGGGGATTCGAGTTCCATTGGGTGGCATGGGCGGGGGAGAGTTTCACTTCGCTGCTGCTGTCCGATCCCGTTGACGTCAGCTTACCATTGGATCTCTAGCTGTTGGCGTCGTCCCTAGTGTCTCTGCCTACAGCCATTCCGCGTATGCAAAGTGCGTGGTGTTTGCCTCCCGGTGCCGAATTGTCAAACAAAAGGATCTTTATCAGCGTTACCCCCCGCGTGGTTGCTTTCTTCGATTCCCTTTTTCCTTATCAACCTTTTTCCAGAATCAAGGTAGCATTGTTATCTGGAAAATCAATTTAAAATGAAAGCTGTTGCAGCCCTGTCATGCGTGGCCATTGCCAACGCATTTATCCTTCCCGACCCGAAGATCTTCGAGCAAGCGGCCATTAAGAATGATGACCACGCTAATCGAGGTTCCTGGTGGGACCGCGTGCCTTCCAAGGACTCCATCGTGAACACCGTCGAGGATGGCATCGATTCCTTGTCCGCACACATTGAGGGTGCATTGCACTCTTTCGAAGAGACAGTCGAGAACAAATTCGACCATCTTTTCGAGGAGGAGATTTTCAACGAGCCCAAAGTCTCCGACAAGACCATCTATGAGCTCATTTCGAAGAGCGAGCACACCACCGAGTTTGCCAAGCTTGTCAACGAATACGAGGACATTGTCAACATCTTGAAGAGCACTGAGGCGAACCACACACTTTTCGTTCCAACGAACCGCGCTTTTGAGCATCTGCCTAAGCACAAGAAGCCCAGCAAGGAGGTTATTGAAGCCATTCTGAAGTACCACGTTGGTATCGGCGACTACGATGCGAAGAGGGTCCTTCGCACCCACACGCTCCCCACATTGCTCAATGAGAAGTTCCTCGGCGACAAGCCCCAGCGTCTTCGCACCAGCGTCGGCCTCGGCGGCGTGCGCATTAACTTTTACGCCAAAGTTGTTGCCGTCAACATCGTAAGCAAACAAGGTCCCCATGGCTCGTTAATCCACCAAATCTGACATGCCATCTGCAGCGCGCCAAGAACGGAATCATTCACGCCGTCAATAGCTTGATCATTCCACCACCCATGGTCGGACGCGAACTCACCCTTCTCCCCAGCCAGTTCTCCACGCTCTTGCTCGCATATGAGAAGACCGATTTTGTCAAGTACATCCATGGTGTCAAGTCCACCGGTACCACCGTCTTCGCACCCTCCAACAACGCCTTTGCTCGCCTCGGACCCAAGGCGAACGCCTTCCTGTTCAACACCGACCTCGGCCTCAAGTACCTGAGAGCCTTGCTCAAGTACCAGATTGTCGGCAATGCGACTCTCTACAGCGACGCACTGTACCGCCCTGATGAGAAGAAGGACGTCAACACCATGGAGCACTACCATGTTGATCTTCCCACATTGCTAGGCAAGAACATCGCCGTTGATGTCGCTACCTGGGGAGGCTGGACCAAGGTCAAGCTCAACGGTTACATCCCCATCGTCGTCGCCGATGGAATCGCCAAGAACGGTGTCATTCACGTCCCCGGCCGTGTCCCCATTCCTCCTCACAAGCACAAGGTCGATTATGTCGACGGCGAAATTGAGGTCGAGGATTTGAAAGAGAGGCTCTCTGAGTACGTTGATGGGAAGGAGAACGATGCTAATTGGCTTGGCGAGGAATTGTAAAGGCTTCTATGTCAATTAGATCAACAAATAGCCGTCTGCCTTGAATAATTTGGACGACAAAAGCCACAATGCCGGATATTAGCAATACATATATGCCTAAGCTCTCTCCATCGAGTATGCCCCAACCATCTATGGCCATGACTCTTTCACCTTGATGATCGGGGTACCATGTAGATATTGTACCTTGATATCATGGAAATCAATCCGAAGTACGTAACTGAGGAACAACGCGATCTATTTATGGGAAGCCTTCTTCGGTGGTACCGCCATGGTCTCGGCCGCGGGACTGTCTCAATGAGTATGGTAGTCCTTTGGCAGAGATGTCTCGCCTTCCCAAGCGCTGTCTTCACCCCCTCAACTACCAGGAATGCCAAGCTAGGTAAGGAGTCCTAACTTGTTCCAGCACAACCCCGACTTCTGCGGCATTCAGCCCTACGGACATTGAGCTTCAGCGAAACAGCCCAGTGTTCTCAGCCACCCTCTCTACTCTGGCGTGTCTGAGCCAATATCGGTGCTGTTTTTTCACTCCCGACCCATCGAGTGAATGCCGTGCCCAACGTACCACGAATAGCCCCTCGATAACTTACTTCCCAAGGCTGTCAGCTATACACATGAAATCATGAGAATCGTTTTTAATGACCGCTTCATGCATCAAGTACCTCTTTATCTAATGTTGCCAAACGCATCAAGGCATTCTGGGCATGCGGGAGAAATGGAAGAATACCACAGAGAAAGAAAAGCCATGTTTTGGGTCCTTCGTGCTCCCTGACCTCGGAGCGAATCAGCCTTCTCAACCAAAAATGCCATGGCCCAGCCCGCATCTACCTATCGGTACTCACCAGTCCGGAATCTGACTAGCACCGGACCTCAGCTCAGGGTAGCCGGCGCCTTCTAGGACAACCACACATGACAATTGGCTCCAACCATCGACCATGGGATGCCACTGATGCAGACTGCAAGCGGTCAAGCGGCCCTCGATGAGGCTGGTACAGTAAGTCAAAGCACCCAGTTATGGGCCCCCCCCCTTTTGGGCCCCCCATTTTTGGTGGGCCCTCACCAAAATCTCTACTTTTTCATATATATATAATTAGCCTAATATATAAGTTAAAATTATAAAATAATTTTAATTAACATTATAAATACTGAATATTATATAATAGGGTTTTATTTCTGGATTTTATAAAGTATATATTACGTAATAATACTTAATAATAAATATATTAAAAATATATAGTTAAGTACTATTATTTGAAATACTTATAAGTTCGTATATATTCAATATAAATAATTAAAATTTATATATATAATACTTACTTATACTAAGTTTATAAATTTATAGTTATAAATATATAATAATTTTTTTTCACTTAATAACTACTAATATTATTTTTCCTATACTAAATTTTATATAGGGAATTTTATAAGTATTATTATTATATAAACTTATAATAAATCTAATATTAACTTATATAAAAAGCTAAAATATATTATAATATATTAAATTATACTTTTTTTAAGTTTTTAAATTATTTAATTAAAAAGTTATATAAGTTATTTAAATGTTAGTACTTACTAGTAATCTGTATATAAGCACTAACATTTTTAAAACTTCTACTTCTTTCTTGAAATATTATATATATATAGTATATTACGTAATATAGAATTTTTTTATATAAATTATTAATAAATTTCTATATAATATTAAAAGGGGAGATTTTAATACTTAATATTCGATTTTATAGACCTATAGTGAAAAATAGTACTATTGGTGTAAATGGGGGGCCCAAAAGGGGGGGGGGCCCATAACTGGGTGCTTTGACTTAACGCACCGGAAAGACGACGAACCACGCGCGGAGCTGAGCTACTACAGCTGTCCGGTTGTCTCAAAGCCACCACAAGAAGAGATTGGCTTACCTTTCGCGTGTGCGACCCAAGGACCAGGAACTTTCTTCATGTTGTCCAAGGGCGGATTCGTGGCTCGGCGAACTCTGTCTCCCTCCCCAGGCCTCTTCTGAATTATTCGAAAGCTGCATGTGGACAAGATTTGACGTCGATTTCTGGCCCAAATCTGAATATCAACCCGCGAGAAAGGATGCCCGCAGCTTTCCAACGATCAATCATGCCGTGATATGAGCTTGTAGCAAATATGCATCAACCCGCACCAGCGAGACAGCCGACACTTGAGTCGCAAGCGCAGTATAATCTGCAAGCTACCGAGGACATCGACGAGGACCACAATGAGCTGGACGAGAAGAAACACCCGCCTCCGATACCAAAGCGACCAGACTATCGACCCAAACCGTTGCAATGGCCTTTCATCGTATGCATGATTCTTACCCTCTCCATACTCGTGGGGCTGGTGATCTATGCTCGCAATACGATGCCAAATTCAGACAGCACAGCAATAATTGAGCCCCGCCGTTACTTGGATTCACGGCAAGAGTCTAGTTCTATCAATGAGAAGTCCTCAAGTCCAAGTATGTCAACACAGGTTCTGTCGTCTTCGGGCTCCCGTCCGTCTTCTGATGGACTGCCGTCGACGATCGTCCAAACTAGTAATGCCGATCTCCCGACGACCTCTGCACCTGGGCGATCTCCTGCTTCGGCGTCAATATCGACGGCTCTTGTTACTATAGCCTCGTCGGACAAAGCCTTCAGCGTGACTCCTGGAGCATCGACTGAGCGAGAGCAATCTTCTGATATTCGACAACAGAAGGCACAAGTCACCTCAACCCCCTCGGCGTCGGCAATTGAGGCCCAGAGCCAGACAGCCTCCGGACCGCCCTCGTCTGCGCCACCTGATGATCTTCTCACAGCTACTACTACTGCCACAGATAATCCGATTTCAATGGCTACATCATCATCGTCATCAGGCACTACGAGATCTAACAATGGTGGTCAGAGCAAAGAAACTGACTCTACTCATTCTCCACCGTCAACAACCACGAAACCGGAGAGTCAAGACAAGATTAAATACACGACGTATTCAACAACAAGTGATAAGGAAGCCAGCTTTGTTTCATCCTATGACGGTTCGAACCAGCGCAAAGCTCCTGTCACTGTCACCTCATCATCTTCCAGCCCATCATCGCCGGAGCCCATTGGAAGCGACAGGGTGCTTTCTATCATCAAGTCTGAATTCACTTCCACATTCACGAGACCTGGATCCACTTTCCAGTACACGACATCCATCGTGAGCAGTGCCTTTTCGACTTTCACGACGGCTCTTGAAACCACCATTCCCGAAAGTACTGGCGAGACCACGTATACACGAGTGATCACAACCGCGACGCAGAAGTCGATCACAAGAACCTTGGCAAGTAGCAACGTGGTTATTACTACGACGATACCCGAGCAAACCACCCGAACGGATGTAATCAGCGATGACGAAACAACCTACTACCAGACGACAACCAAGACTGTTGGGCGCGTGACGACCTCAACCTCGGCTGCACCCGCCTCGACAATCGTCGAAGTCACTGGTGAAGTTGGAGAGGCGACCATAACTTCAACAGCCCAGTTTACATCGCCTGCGAGGGTCAGCACCTATACATCTGTTGGTGTTTCTGCCGTACGGACTACCATTGCAAGTGTCTTCACCACGACCGCGGCGGGGGTGGTGTACGTGTCCGTAGGGACAACCGAAATCACCAGAGTTGTCACCGTTCCCGGCGGAGGGTCACGAGGCCAGCAGAGTTGGCAGCCTAGCCTAGTTACACAACTCATCACCAGTGTGTTCGACGGGAAGATTGTGACAGTTGTGGAAACGGGAAAACCTCAGATTTTCGTGACCAACGCCGAAAGCCTTTTCACGGCCGTGTACACGCCACCTGCAGAGACGATCGTGACGAGGATAGGGGGTGAAGAGACGCAGATGGTAGTCACAGTCACTCCATCTCTGGATGTTGGCCTGATTGCTGTCCAGACCACCGTTGCTGGAAAACCTACGGTGGTGCTGATTCAGGCTACAAACGCCGCAGGCTTCAAGCCGGTGTCTTTGACACTTGTCTCCCAAGTCGGCGGCAGTACTGGCGTCTTCACAGCCACCGATGCTCCAGAGACTATCAGGACAACCATCGATGGTAAAGAGACCTTGGTAACAAGAACACCGGCCCTGAGAGAGTTTACCTCTGTAATCGGAGGAACGCCAACCACAATGGCGTTGGTCACAACACCGACTGGAAGCATGCCTCTATTGTTCACAGTGATCACGACGATTGGAGGCTCTTTGAGCACAATCATATCAACTCCAAGCCCTACCACATTTGTCACTTCGATATCGGACAAGCTCACTACGATCACATCTACTCCGAAGCCCAGTACACGTGTATCCACTATTGGCCCCTCCACGGCGGTATTCATCTCTGTTTCCCAGCCAGCGTCGACAAGCAAACCCGATACCGTCATAACCGAAGTCGAGAAGTTCGCTTTCACCGATGGCGATTACTTCCTCGGTAAGTTTCTTCCGGTGATTCTGGCCGTCATGGTTGCGATTCCTCTGAGAATCATCGATCTCAACGCGAAGTTATACCAGCCTTTCCATGCATTATCCCAAGAAGGAGGTGCACTCGGTAAGAATAGCATGACGATCCAATTTGAAGGCTGGAATGGGTTCTTGGCTCCGTTCAGGGTTCTCAGGCAGGGTCATCCGGTTCCTTTCATCACGACACTGATCGTATGGTCATCGTCTCTTCTGGCACCCTTGGCAACTGAGGCGATTGGAATGAAGCTTCACGGCAAATGCAAAATCACCGCCATTGACGGCTGCGGCATTCAACTAGGCGTCTCCCCAAAATCAGCACACATCTTGATCGCGTTGCTCGTTCTTATCGTTGCTCTTCTGCTGGTTCTCCTTTATCTTCTCCGCAGCTGGGAAACCGGACTCCACGCGAATCCTTGGAGCATTGCGGGAATATCGTCACTTTCTCTGAACGCAGAAATTCGGCCACATCATGTCAACTTCAAAGCTACCGAAAGAATGATGGCAGGCAAGAGCTACATGCTGAGCTTTTTCGAAGATAGGCACGGTCGAGATGAATACGGCTTCATCTACTATGACGAATCGGCCGACAACTTGCAATCGGCAGGGTCAGGAGCGCTATCGACTGATGACGAGTCGGATGTCATCAAATATTCGCACGGCAAGGCGAGAAGTGCCCGGAAAACAAATCCTTTCATCGCGCTTACGTACTGGTGGCGCATCGTGTTCATTCTTTTCCTCCTTTCTTTGTTCATCATAATACTTTACTATCACGTTACACTTGGTCTTCGTACTTCTTTCAAAGACTTCATGGACAGTCAAACATTTGGCCTCCGTTTCTTCCTTGCTGCATTGGGAGTTATCATCATTTTTTGCTGGGAATCAATTTTCATCAGTAAGTAGCCTCGACCCTAGAGCCGGCCCGGAGTGAGGAGCTCGACTAACACAAAGCCCAGGTGTTGCTATTGTCAGTCCGTACCATCACATGGGCCGACGTTCGCAACGACCAGAGTCGTCCATTCTTTTGACACGCCCCACGAACGGATTTTATGGCATTTACGCCGCGATTATTAACGGCGACATAGTGCTGATGCTGGCAGCCTTCATGTCCATAATAGCCGAATTCCTTCCGATGCTGTTGGCCAATGTGCCGTACAACCTGACTCAGACAATCAGCTCGCATAACGTCTGCTTCAATATTAGTTTGACGATCTTGGTGCTGATGATCGTGGCTCTGGGGGCAAGTCTATTCATCAAGTGGCCCGAAATGCCAGTCGATCCCCGGAGTATTGCCGGCGCAATGTATTACATTGACGAAAGCCGAATGTTGGATGACTTCGAGGGTCTGTCGCAGCTGTCTTCAATGGACAGGAAGAAGAAAGTTGGAGAACTTGGACGCAGGTACTTCTACGGCGCTCTGACCGGAAAACATGGAAGGCGTATGGGCGTTGAGTCGGTAGAGAGCGTCGAAGACACTGTATATACCGGGGCGAATTGGCTTCCACCGCATGGTGAACGTGATTACCACGAGCCAGAGGCGTCCCAGTATCGTGCTCAAGTTACATCCAGTCCAGAAGGATATCCCGGACCAAGACAGGATGCATGTCACGAATAAGGGGGCTGGATGTGACGATGTTCATCTCTAGAGAAGGCGTTGGACCATTCAGGTCCTTCATCATAATTAATCAATCTGCCATTTTTAAATGGCAAGACTTCAACTGGGTATAATTCCATCGCTCTCCTTCATCTCACGTTCTTATTCTAGCAGTGGATTGCCGGACTACCACCAGCAAGTCCGCCGAGCAGAAACGTTCCTAGCCAAACACCACTGAGCACAGAGAGGAAGTAGCCAACATTCATCGTCATCACCGCAAGCATCCTGGAAAGATTGTTAGCCAAATTCCTAGCATGCAAATTCGAAGGTGGGGCCCACAAGAGATATCCAATTCCACCTACGATGACTTCGTAAGTTGCCCTTGCAGCAGCAGCACCAGCGCGCCACCCTTTCCAACGTCCCACAATATCTTTGCGAATTACCGAGCCGGCCTGTCCTGGCTCAACACTCTCTGCATGGTGACTTGCCAAGGCTTGCTTGTCCGATTCGTAGGCAGGATAGTTTCTCCAGAATCTGTCTTCAAGTACTGGCTTCAGAGCGAGTAGGAGGCGTAAGATTGAGCCCAGTACGATGAGAAAGATGCAAGTACCCGCGTATTGACCGGGACTTGTTGGTGTCCATGCGTCAGAGTAGAGAGGTGTTTGGAAGGCTTCGAAGAATGTCATGGCCATTTCAGACATTGACATTGACATGCTAGACATGTCGCCGGAGGCAGCACTAGTCGACGTTGCCATCGCCATGGCGGTGCTAGTTGCCATGTTCATATCCATCGCGGTGTCTTTGGAGAGATTTTCGAATCGGTGGATGTTTGAGTTTCGAGTAATGTAAAATGGGTCTAAATTCTCTGTAGGCGGAAGCTCGTTATCGACACAGTCGATTTGTTTCGGTGGAATTTCGCAGAGTCGAGGTAATCGGGTGTACTACAGTGCTTAGTTGTGGACAGACACGACTCAAAAAACTGTCAACATTGATGGTGGCATCATATAATTTATCAAAGAAGACCATTTATCTAGTCCCATTCACACGAGTTAGATGATACCGTGAAGTGGAAGATCGGCACGAGCATTTCTATGAGCAAGTTTCTCCCTCCATCCCGGGTGGCACGGCATCTGACGTCCGTGTCGTCGGAAACAATGTGGGAAAAGAGGGTCCCGAAACGCGCAAGTTGACTCCATTCTCCACGTGGAAATCTGCCAAAACACAAAGCTTAGCCAATTGCAAACCCTGATCCAGTTGCCGTCGTATTATCTGTTGGTTGTCTAGTGTGACATTAGAACCGCATTGTGGCATGGGTGGTGCTTATGTTCCGGATGAGGAGAGTTAACGAGCTCAAATGTGCTCAAAACCCTTGGAGTTGCAGCGCAGGATTCCCGAACTCACGAATCGAAATAACGCGCTCAAATGTACGTCTGCGCCGATTCGATACCCTGATAGTCCTCAATATCACGGCAGTATCTTCCGCGATGAGCAATTAATAATATTCTATTGGCATACTTGCCAAAATACGCGAAATCTACTTCAGCATCATTTGATCCACAGGCAAGGTGATTCTCAGCGTTTCGCCAAGCACGATGGTAATCACATTTCTATTGTAAATTATTCCTCGTCCTCGTCTTCGGGCAAGGCTTTACCCCTAGAATCCTACTGGGTTAATCGAAGCCCAACGCCATCATGTCTCTACCCTGGCTGAGCCAACCGGTAATGCTGCACTCCAGTCGCGATGCTGGAACTTGCTCTATGACACCAGAGCAATGTGCTTTCAAGACTGGCTACTGGGTGTTTTGGTACGAGGCTGATCATCGATACGGACTACCTACTGTTGCTTTCTTCGTAACAGCAATATTGCTCGCAGCTATCGCTAGCTTTGCCTCGACATACGCCCCGACATCGTGGAGAAGGAACACATTATGGCTACGGATCTTGTCATCAGGCCGTCTCTTGTCCTACAAAAGTTGGCGGCTTGGTTTCTGGAACACGCAGTCTCTAGGCACATACCTACTTGGCGCTGCGGGTGCTGTATTTTTCTTAGGTACTCCTACCTTCTCGTATGGGCCCTATGAGACCGACGACTGATCATCTCCCAGCAATGACCCTTGGTCCTCAGCCATACTACTGGCCTAACACAAAACAACTGAGCTTCGGAAACTCACCGCCGATTGCCACCCGTGCCGGGTACATGGCTTTAGCATGCATGCCATTTCTTTTGTGAAGAAGTCCCTCAAGATCTTGTATTTGCTTTTCAGCCTTCTCTAACTCTGTGTGTAGCATTCTAGGTGCGAAGGCAAACCCGATCTCAGCCCTGACCGGTATATCTCACGAGAAACTCAATATCTGGCATAATTGGGTGGCATGGGCTATGTTTGTACTAGCACTGGTCCATACATTTCCCTTCATTGTATTCCACATCTGGAAAGGCGACATAGTCAAGCAGTGGAATGATGGAGGTATGTGGGTTACAGGCGTCATTGCGATCCTAGCTCAAGCATGGTTGACCTTCATGTCTATTCGTTGGGTCCGGTATGTGATAGTGTTCATCATTGGCCTTCAAGCACTCTTATTGAGACATCGAAACTGTACTGACAGTCAACTTACCTTGACAGTGACCGATATTACGAACTGTTCAAGGCAACTCATCTTTTAGCCGCGGCCGTCTTCTTCGTTTTCTTCTTCATTCACTGCGACTTCCGTCTTACCTCTTGGGACTATTTCATCGTTACAGCTGTGCTGTACGCTCTATGCTTCTTCTACTCACAATTCAAAACCTTCATGGAGCACGGTGTCAACCACGCCCGTGTATCGCTGGTCACGCCTCATTGTTTGAAGGTCGTCATAGAGACCAATACCCGGTGGACACCAGGACAACACATGTATCTGAGGTTTCTCACTGGCGGCATGCACACACTGACTGCCCATCCGTTTACGATTTGCTCGATCCCGCGAAAGGGCCAACGAAACGAAATGGTCTTTTACATCCAACCCAGAGGAGGAATAACAGCTAGGCTTGCTACAATTGCTCAGAAATCCCCGGAGGCATCTGTTCGAGTTCTGCTCGACGGTCCGTACGGCGGCGTTACGGATCGATGGTTTGCTGGCTTCGACCGATCACTCATTGTTGCTGGGGGTGCAGGGGCAGGATTCTCTTTGCCAATGATCGAGCACTTTCTGCAACGACAACACGCAGAAGCCGCAAACCCAGAAATGGAAGTTATCGTTGCAACCCGCGATCTTGAATTTCGGGAATGGTACTGTAGAGCATTGGACGATATTATTGCTCGATACCCTCATGCCGGGAACACAAAGGCGCCATGTATCTCTATCTCTTTCCATGAGACGGGAACTTCAGGGGAAAACAGGTCGACATCGTCCAACCCAGAATCTCAGGCATATGGTGGAGACAAGGAGGTGATTGAAACACCCGGGAAGTCTTCCGAGTCTGAATGGCAATCCTCTTCTGGGCTGGTCAGTCTACGCACATACAATGAGCGACCAGATGTTTTCGCGATTTCTAGGCGAGCTATTGAGCAACCAGGGAGCGTTGGTTTAGTGACCTGTGGTCCGGCGTCATTGGTCTTCGACTTGGGTCAAGTTGCAGCCGAGGCCCAGAAACGTATTCTGCAAGGCGGTGGTGCCAGGGAGGTCTGGTTTTACAAGGAGAACTTTTCGTAAGTCTACATTGACTTTTACCCATTGTAGTCATTGAATGCTAACTCGACTATCAAGATATTAAATACAACTCGTGAGCCGCAAAGAAAATTCTGAGTTCTCAGCGTTGTACCAAGTACCTACCAACAATATTTGAATTGGCTGCCCAGTATCACACCGTTAATCCTACTGATCCTTTCGATCATCCTGATTCCATATTGACCTCACTCCGACCACTCCCTCCCCATTCTTGAAAATACTCGTGTCATGATCATCCCTGATGAAACGCAATCTTGTGATTTAGCGCTGTGAAATCAATTAAATAGTCCATGTCGTATACATACACACATCCGCGGTCTGAATTGCTAACAAAACCTGGCATTTCCACGCTCACCGGATGCACTAATGTTGGGCGGACAGTTCATCATCGACTTTGCAGAACTCAGAAGCCAGTGGGCATCTCGCGGCTTGTTTCTCAGTTTGGGTGCGAAGCAAGGGACGGGCACTAATCAACCCCTGGTCGAGATTACGGTTACGTTACCATAGCACAGCATGCGTTGTTACATCAGACTGTTAGTTTGCGGGGCAGCTCTGCTGATCTATCTGTGAAAGTTGGATGAAGTGAGGGGTGATAACACTGAAGCCGAGATACGGACGGAGACATAGTCTTTCTGCATAAATGGTCAATTGACACGACAATGGAGGTAGCTGGAAGCATTTGAAGAGGGCAGGCCACACCAAATTGCGCCGAAACAAGTTCAAGTCATGGCGCTCTTGCAGTTCATCACGGCATTCCTCTGCAGTCCTGTGTTAGCAGGGGGTCTCCAACTTCTGCCGCCCACCCTCCGAACTTCGGAATCCCCTTCAGGCGCCGTTTGGCAAGTGGATAAAAGCCCGAAGACTATCTACATCGAGAACAGTCTTGCCTCCAAAGCCGATACAGATGGCTTGACTCTCATTCCACCAAATGGCCACGACTTTGCGAAGCTCTTCCAACAAGACATAAGCGAGCTTACAGGTGTCAACTGGACATTACAGCGCGTCGATCGTCTCCCTAATGCCGCCAACGCCACTGGCATTCTTCTCGGCTCTTTCACCAGCAACAAATCGTCGCTCACTTACGAAAATGGCAATCCTACGTCGGAAGGTTATGAGCTCGTCATCTCCCCGTCTGGCGCCTTCATCGGCGGCACAGGCGCGCGGGGGATGTGGTGGGGGACCAGAACCTTGCTCCAGCTCCTGCTGGTAGGGAACGGGACTCTGCCCATGGGGCGATCGTTTGACGCGCCGGCATATGCTACGCGAGGCTTCATGCTCGACGCCGGACGCAAGTGGTACGCGCCCACTTTCCTCAAGGAGCTGTGCAGCTTCGCTTCCTTCTTCAAGATGAGCGAGTTTCACTATCATCTCAGCGACAATTACCCGCTCAATCGCGGGCAGAACGCGTCGTGGCAAGACGTCTACTCCCACTTTTCGCTGCGGCCGGAAGATGAGAATTTGCTACCGATCCTTCATGGCCGGGAGAATGAAACCTTGTCCCGAGAAGACTTTGCTGATCTTCAGAGTCATTGCGCGTCAAGAGGTGTCACAGTTATCCCGGAAATCGAAGCACCAGGCCATTGCCTCTACCTGACCAAGTGGAAGCCTGAGCTCTCGTTGGCCAAGCGCGACTTGCTCAATCTGTCTCATCCTGATACTATCCCGACCGTCAAGCGTATCTGGTCGGAGTTTCTCCCCTGGTTCGAGACAAAAGAAGTTCATGTTGGCGCAGACGAGTATGATGCGACGCTGGCTGACGACTACATTGGTTTCGTGAACGAGATGTCTTCTTTCATTAACTCTACTACCGGCAAGAGAATTCGGATCTGGGGAACAAACGAGCCATCTGAAAACAAGACGATTTCCAAAGACGTAGTCATCCAGCACTGGCAATACGGCGAATCGGACCCGGTTCTACTGGCAAACAATGATTACGATGTTGTCAATTCAGAGGACTGGTGGGCATATATGTCTCTCAAGAACGACCATATGCCAATCCTACCTGCTCGCTACCCGCAATTCTTCAACGAGACTCGAGTCCTCAACTTCGCCAACGAACCAGAGTGGCAGTGGACACCAGCGGATTTCAACCCTTTCAATAAGACCATGCAGCTACCAGATAGTTCACCAGCAAACAGAGGTGCCATTCTTGCGGCATGGAACGACAATGGCCCGGATGCCTCTACACAGCTGGAGGCGTATTATGCCATGCGTCGAGGCATAGCGCTGGTCGGAGCACGCGCGTGGAGTGGCAGTCGTGGCGTAGAGCTGGCAGACGAAGGAGTTGCGCCTAGCATCGACTTCTTCACGCCTCTCGCACCGGGACAGAATCTTGAGCGTGTAGTGAAGAAGCCCAAGTCTGCATGCAAAGGCCCACTAGTCTCATGGTCTCGCCCTGTCAATTATTCCGATGCTGTACACCTTGGCCACGGAAGTAAGGGGATGAACTATACCCTGACTCTAGCTGTTACGGGGCCTTTCACTCTCTCCGGTCCAGATACTGCTCTCTCATTAGATGATAGTGGTAGCATCGCATTCAGTGCGGACGGATGGGCTTATCCTCTCCGGTCTGTTAGCAAACAAGATGCCATGGAACTCGACCCTGGGCACCCAGGCCGGATTTGGTCGAACGTCTCTACTTCCACACACGAGGCAGTGTCGGTGCCGAAGCTACCTGCGAACATCACAATCACCACAGACGTGCCTCACGGAAGCATGGCCTGGATCAACGGGCAATTCGCAGGGCGGTTCGAGGTGTTTGTGTATGGAGGTCGCAACACACTCTTCAGCTGGAGCCAAATGGCCTTCGTTGCGCCATTGGAAGATATACATGGCCCCGGGCTACAAGGTCTTGTGGTCGACGGAGTTGCTAATGCAACTTAGAAGGAGCCTGTACACCTATACCAAGAGAGTACCGTTATGTGTTGCAAAATATTTCATCCCGCACCCATATCTTGTCAGAGGCTATGTCTGATCCTTGGTGATCTCGACAGTGACCCCTTCCTACCTGAAAACTAATAAGTCTGGTCCTCTGTCACCGACAGCCCGCACCCTAGATCTGACCTCAAGCGGACTACCTTCATGTATCACGAAGTGGTCGTCATCAAGTTCATCCTCCAGGCCGAGGATTCTGTACACATTCCTTCCGACCAAGTCCAAGGCAGTCTTCTCGTCCAGCCGCCCTTCGCCATTTTTGTACGCCGCGCCCGCGAGCAAGCCAAGGTCTCGCACGATCCAATCCTCCTCCAGGCCGATAGCTACATCAACGCCAGCCTGAACCAGGACATCGACACTTGTGCCGTTTGTCAAAGGCGCGCCCGTAAGCGCTCGTCGCTGATCCCACGATATCGCAAAGGACTGCATTGGTGCCAAAACCACACCCACTTTAGCTACAGACAAGGCGCCAGCAACCAGGTGTGCTTCGGCGCCGCCGTTTACGACGAAGCGAAGCCTCTTCGGCCTATTCACGAGCTCTGAAAGAGCTTCTTCCACGATACTTTTGACGTCTAACAAGGCAGCAATGGTGTCTGCGCTGTGCACAGTCACGACAAGTGCCATCTGCCCTCCAATAACTTTCCGGAGAAATGCAGCCTCCGTGTACCGGTCTTCCACAGGGATAGCATCATTTGCGGCGAACGATGAGACTGCCTTTAGAAGCTTGCGTCGCATCTCGCCAACAGCTCCTGAGATGGATGAGATTCCATCAGCTCCGCTCTTTGCGGAGAGATCGAGAGTGTAGTGCACAGCAGCATCACGAGCAAATACGGCACCACGGTCAAGGATAGTCTGAGCCCCGGTGAGGAATCCAGTGCTTGTGCCGTGATGCGTGCCGAGAGCTGTGAATTTAGGGGCCGAGATGGCTCTGGTCACACCATAGCGGTGGGCAACTTGCAGTTTATCTGTATCGAGGGCGAGCCCATCAACACCGCGACTGAACTTTCCCCCATCCGCACCGTTGTCGGTGTTGCGCTCCGAATCGACAGCGTTCAGACCGATGGTTGAGCCAAAGGCGGTGAAAGGTGGAGTAAGATGACCGTTTTTGAGTTGGATCAGAACACCTTCTGGTCTAGACGCCGCTTTGAGCTCGGCTTCGCAGCTTCCAACGCAGGTAATCTTGCCGTCAGAGATGGCCACATTGTATGTGTTGCCATCGGCTGCCAGACCATTCACCGTCATGGAGTGTAGTACTTTTGAGATTCCTGTAAAGACAACGTCGCCCCGCATGATCTGTGGGTTCTCAATGACCTCGCCGAGACTCTCGTCGGGGACTATGGTACCCTCATAGGTCTTGTTCAGCCTGACTGGTTCGTCATACTGAGCAGTACCGTCAATCCAGACCTGGACCGGCGTAGCCCCAACGCTCAATGGGTCACTATCCCAGACGACGATATCGGCATCGAAGCCAGGCTTGATTCTACCGAGGCGAAGCTCCATCCCCAGTCTCTCAGCCGGGGCAGTAGTAACGGATGCTAGTGCAGCGTGGTAAGGCAGACCATATTTGTACGCTTTTGCGGCTTCAAACACGACGTGCTGCGCATTGAGTACCGGGTTATCGCTAACGTAGATGGGCGTCAGTCCAGCGTCGTAGAGACGTTTCCCTGCGTATTCTGAGCCCATGGCAGCTTCGGCTTTGTACCACATGTTGTCGGCGAAGAGGGCGGACGCTGGTGGATTATTTCCCCATGCCCGTTTGAGGATCTTGGGAATGACGAGTGAGTAAAAGGCGCAGCATTGAGAGATATCATCAAGGGGTTTGCGATGTACTTACCTCGGGCACGAGATACGTCTGGTGGGCATGATGAAATGCGCGAATGGGAAACTTGAACTCATTCGTGTGATCCACGAAAGCTTCGATGTCATTGATGGTGTAACAATGGGCATGAACATGGACCTGGCCCCTCAGCACAGCAATCAATGCCTCCCATTCCAGATCGTTTTTAAGGTAAGTTTTGACGTGGTCAAGACCTTGAGCTGCGGCGTTGCACCAGTCATCTTGCTCGCGGATCAACTTGGTGGCATGCTCAAAAGCCTGACGGAATTCCCAGCTTTCGCCGAGGCGGCTGTACGGGCCACGCTCGCCCGCCTTCCCATGAACCTGCTTGGAATTCTCGCCGCAAGCCATCTTCATATGCCGCCAGGTCCGATCCGGATCAGCCAGCATATCGAGTACGCTTGTTTCATTGCGTCCGTCAGCAGTTCCAACGGCGTGCTTGATCACAAACGCTTCGCCACCAATATTGTTGCTGGACCCCGGAAGAATCAACGACGTGGTGACACCGCCGGACTTGATGACCTGGAGTTGATAATCCGTCGGCTGAATGCCATCGATGGATCGGACATAGGGAGTGATATCTTTTGACAGCTCGCTGACGTCCTCATTGCCGTGTAGTGTTGGCAGTGAGTGTACCGCAGCATGGCTGTGCATGTCGATGATGCCGCTGGTGAGCGGCCGCCCATCCGCATCATAGACGAGAACATCCTTGGGCAGAGAGGCTATCGCTATGTCCTTGGCGACCTGTTTGATGAGACCGTGCTCAATGAACACGTCGGCTGAGATCCATGAATAGTCGGCAGACCCTTCAGCCGGTTCCCCGACCCAAATTGTTGCGTTCCTGATGACTGTGGGTTTCTTGCTGTCCACGAAGCGGGCGTTCCGCGTCCTCCCGTAACCAGGCGGATCAATCGGTCGACTGTGCAATTTTCCGCAAGTAGCCAGATCCTCTCGTAACTGGCGAGTTGAAAGCCCATGAATCGTAAATTCCGGCCCGGAGACGCCGCCCGTGGGGTGAATTTGTCTCCATTGCGCGTAGACGATGAACGCGAGGCATGCTAAACCAAGAACGCGCAATGTTCGCGACCTGCGGGGTAAAACTTGGAGAACCGGATGATGCCGCCGCCGCACTGACGAAGAAGGGACACGGCGACTTTCAGCCGCTGTCGCCGCTGGCGGGCTGTAGGGCGGCAGCTCATCTGTCTTCTCCGCGCCCGTGAGCGATGCCATTGTTTGAGTCGTCGGTATCGGTGGCTGAGGAGGACGACAGGGCCACATGGTGGGTTTGAAGTCTGATAACGGGACGTTTACTATCAACAAGGGACATGAATAACAGCTCCAGGCCTCTTTGGGTGAGGGCGCCCTTGTCCCCAGCTTCCAAGGGGGCTTTGATGATCGCAACAAGGATTCAGGACAGGGCTTAACTCGCCTAAATTAGTTCCGGGCAGCCCAAGCTAAAAACTAAACTCCTTCCCAAAGCTCTGTTTCCACGGCTGATAATGTGGTGGTACTTATGGATCTGTTGGAACATGGAGCATACATGTATGTAGCCGTAGAGGTAGATCTGTATGAAGATGGCATGAACTTTTACATTACTGGATACTCAGTGCCTAGCCCGTTTTGGTCTGTCACAAGTTGCTCGTCCGGCGGGATGCCTCGATTGACTCTGGCCACTGACGCCATCTAGATTTAGACCCCGCTCCGATCACCGTGCCCCTAGATGGTACACCAGAGGAAAAAGAAATACCGCATGATGAATACGAGAGTGTTTGCCAAACTAATTCGGGAAAGATGCCGATACTTCGACTCAAGTGCCAGAGACTTAGGCACAGACTTTAGACTGTACTAAGACGGCACAGGCACTTCCATGTTCACAATTTTGATGAAGGGTTCAATGTTGTTTTTCATCATTCAGGTCGATTCATTCAGTTATGATTTCGTCGAGGGGTATCCCCCACTTCGTGATATGTCAAGCTAACGTAGGTACATGTATTTGGTCTCATTTATCTACACTAGTACAACCGCTTAATGGGCCTCAACCAAAGTCTCCTTCACAGCCGGGGCTTGCTTAAGCTCCTCAGACACCTCAGGCGCGTGCGCCTTAGCGGTCGGCTGCGCGTACGGAGTCCACTCCTCATCGGCAGTCATGCCGCCGTACAACATGGACGGGGGAGCAAGAGCCTGGATATCGGGGGTGGCCTTGAAGAGGTAGAACTTCTCATCGTGCCACTGGCCAGCAGTGACGTATCTTCCCTCGCTGTCCTTGAACATGGTGTCGTTCTCGGCGCGGAGGAAGTAAGCGATTGAGTAGCGGTGCTGCTCGGAGTTGTAGGGGACGACGCGGTGGATGCACGACATCATGGTGTGGCCACTGGCGAAGCGGAGGGAGTCGCCAACGTTGATGATGGCGCAGCCCTTCTTGGGAGCGACGAAGCCGAACTCCTTAGTGCCAGGAGGGCGAATCTGCAGACCCCACTCGTCAGCGAAGAGTAGGGTGAGGGAGCTGATGTCGGTGTGCTTCTGGTGGCCGATCTGGGTGTCCTTGATGGGGTCGGCGGGGACGTAGTGCATCATTGCCAGTGTAGAGGTAGAAGGGCGGTCGTTGCGGTGGGCGTTCTCGTAACGGGCAGCGCCGACGAGTCCCATGGCGGAGGAGAGACCGGACAGGACGGTCTTGGTAACCAGGTTGGATCCGGAGATAGCGTTCTTCAGAATCGCCTTTTCCTTGTCGTTCTGGAGGATCTTAGGGAACTTAGGGTCGGATCTTTGAATCTCATCACGGGAAACCTGGAATGGATTAAGTTAGCTAGAGCTCATACTAAGCGCTCGTGGAACTCCCAGGATGACATCTCACCTTGAACATCTCATAGCCGTCTCTGGTGTTGGGAAGACCACCCGTTCGGGAGCCGACAGGCTCATATCTAGGATTGAACCGTAAGTATTTTCTGAGCATTCCAACCTCGTAGATGCGGTAGAGACATACCCGAGATGTGCGGTGATGAGACCGAGCTCGTTCTTATCCTCAATAGGGGCCTCAAAGTAGCGGTGCATGAGCTCCAGGGTCCTTTGCTGGTCGTCGAGGAATCTGCTGCCATCGAGGCCGTTCAAGTCCAGGTAGAAGAAACCCTGCTGCTGGCAGATGCGGAGCATGTTCTCGAGCTCGGCTGGCTCTTGTGACAGGACGCGTCCAAAGTCCACAGTCTCCATGGGGTAGACGGGGACCCTCTTCCCGGACCACTCGACGGTCTGCGGGACTTCGGTGGAGATACCCATTATGAAGCTGTGTGTAGGTATGAGAGAGTTAAGATTTGGGGCAGTGAAGACGGTCTTGAAAAATCGAGTTTACAAATCGCGGGCAGAGACTTTGTTTCAACGAGACGAACAATTCTCTCGTACTTCAACCCCGCCGGCGAGCTCTCCTACTTATACAGTTCGAGACGACCCAGGCCTAGAACCCTGAAGACCTGCACAGCTCTGCCTGAGCTACACCTGAAGCTCCGAGTCTGATCTGCGTAGGCGCACCAACAAGACTCTTTGCCCCTCATTGTCAGCAACGCGACGAGATCCACACACATCATCATTTCTTATCCTCCTTCCAGATTGCTGTGATTAACAATGTCCCATTCAATGAGACCTAAGGTTTCATGCAATAGTGCGGGGTCTCGGGCCAATCGGCACATTTCTCCATATCACATGCGTCCCGCGCCAACGAGACTATCACTGACAGCTCGAGGAGCTCGATGCCTCTTTCGTATCAAAAGTGGAATTCAATGCTCTAGCGCTGCTCAATCTGGTTCGCGATGGCGGCACTCTGGTAGGACCCCGCTGTCTCACACTACTCAATCGGATACGGTCCGTCTCATGCAGGGCGTAGGAATTGCACCATTTCTTGGCCATCTTCTCATTTCTGGAAGAAGGAACCATTGAGTCTAGCCGAGAAAGAAAGCGTCTCTTTTCAATCTCCAAGTTTAGCCAGATGCGTTTTGTAAGTACGTGGACGCGGGCTGTTGGCCTAGGCAACACCACATAAACAACAAACACCCCGCTCTTGGTAGATTTCCTTACATGCTTGGAGGGGCATAATTTTCTTCGGAATTTCATCCTCTCGGTCTTTTACCCGACACTAAGATTGCCAAGCCCGGCAGATGGCCCATCATGCAATGTAATTGCTTATTCATTGGCTGATGTCGGACAGAAGGGATTTACCACAGCTCTCTAGTGTCTCTCCGGCCACACGAAGCTGTGCTGGAGTTCTGCAACCAGGCTGACAACTTGGTCGCAGACAACGTGTTGTCCGCGTGGCAGCAAACTTGAGCCTTTGTCGAGACAATGCCATTGTCTCCTTGGGCACAGTCAATGAACCACAAGGGTTGCTCTGAGAGGCCGCCACCATCCGGGAGCATCCGCCAAAAGACCCCTGGCTAGGATCTGACACTAGGCGACCAACCACTCATCCCATCCATCTCGAATTGGCGATGCGGGGTAACCTCAGTGCGGTATCCGCGGGAGACGCGAAACATCTGCAAGCGAGCAGTGTTGCACGCATGTAGTTGGGATTCGGAGGAAAGCCCCCGACTATAACCCCCACGGCGATGGCTGACCGAGACGACGAAGTTAAGGTTGTTAAAGGTTGGGATGACATTTGACGTTGCAGCAAACAATTGGCGATCATTTCGAGATGAACACGTCGAAACTTGGCATCCTATTGTGGCCAATGAGGCTGTGGGAGTCGCAACCGAGGTTGCACTTTTCTTAACGAAAGTCGCATTGGCCAAGGGTGCACAATTAATAAAACAGGTTCAATGACTCTTGGCTTGTATTCGGAGTTTCATCACTCAACTGCGAGTCCGTCTGCTTTCTGCGGTAGCAGTCAATCACTGGTTTGCTTCAAGCATCGCAGTCCCTCCTTCATTTCAACTATTGTTAGGTACTTCAAGATTGCTCATGGAAATGATGATTCCACCCAATTGTATCGCATGAATACTCCAATTGCAAAAAAACGTGAATTTCAATTGAACTTCAGGTAAAGTGATGCGCATATATGTCTATTCTTCAGATCTAAACATGGGATTCAACTCTGCTCTAGATTCCAGACGGGAATCGTTGATGTAAAATACTCATCAACAGACTTGTCTCTTTCAAGCTAGGCTTTCTAGAACAGAAGAATCGTTCCATCTCTCCCCTTCGACTCTCCTAATTGAGTCTATTTGGGGCATCCAATACCCCAGCCAGTAACAGTGTCACAGCAGTCGGCGTCCTATTCAGAAGTCAGTAACAAATTCAACCGCAGGAAAATTGCAGTGGCTTACACAGGTGGCCGACACAGGAGTGTTGGTGCCCTGCTTCATGACGTTGTAGCAGAAGTTGGCCGAGTTGGACGCGCACCAAACTGAATCGCCGTTCTGGTTCATGCAAGACTTCTGGCCCTTGCCCCAGCAGCAGTCTGTCTGGGGAGTGTTGCGTCCAACTTTGCACTAATTCACTGTTAGTTGCTTTGTGACTGAAGGGCGTCGAAGACGATGAAAGCTTACCTCAGCGGCAAGAACGGCAGGAACAGCAACAGCTGAGAGGATGGCGGTGATGACGACGGAGAACTGCATTTTGAATGAAGGTTGATGATCGAAATATGATCTTGAAATGAGAGTGTTTTAGTAAAGAGTGGAAGACTGGTTGTTGCTTGGATATGTGAGTGTGAGAATGATGAGAGACAAAAGACGTTCAGGAGGGATCATAACGCTTCTTATATCCTTCAAGCCTCGTAGATGAATTTCTCAATTCTCTCATGAACCCGATACAGCCATATTCTCGGTGATCCCGGTTCCAGACTGTACGCAGGACTACTCAACTCTGGACAACATAATCTAAAGCAGTTTTGACAAAGCGAAGTGACTGAACTTAGTTCGTAGAAGACGGTGCATTCTCTAACAGTCTAGTACACCTAAGACTGCTCCGAGATAGATTCCCATCAAACGCCGGTATCCACAACACCTTGTAGGGCTGTGGAGGTGCCGTGCCTGACTGCGGCACCACTCAGCGGTCGAAAACCACGATCCGACGCCGCGCTATAATTGCGAGTGCGGTGCATGGATAGTCTTGACTCAAGCGTCTTTCGGCTCAAGGTGGCGCGATACCGAGGATTTGGGTTGAATATGATCTATCCGTACCTGACTTGCATACACCATCACGGGCCATCTTCTGCTCCAGGCCGTTGGCACGAACTTGGCTTACGACGCACGAAGATAAGGTTTACAGGGGAAAACATCTTCAATGTGAGACTACGAGCACGAAAGCACGGTTGTTAGTTTATAGCTGCTTCATATCGGAGAGTCTGTTTTATGGGGGTAGTGCAGTCGGGGACATCGATCAAATCTAGGTGAACTCCACGTGCCAAGCCAGAGTTGTTAAATGGTAAAGCCTACTAAAGTAAACTTTCCTTTAGTCTCCTGCCAAGATGTGATGGTCTGTGAACGATTATGATGATAGACAGAGAATAAGGTGGAACTTTAGATTGGAAGGAAGAAGAGTGCACAAAGTCGTAAAGACACAATTTGGTGAGAACTCAGTCAAGGTTTGATTTCAACTGTCTCAACTATTGTCGAAAGTCATTCTTGTATGATCCTAACTTACTAGCGGATCGACTGAACCCATTTGTTTAGAATACATCTATTGTGTACGTTTCTACTAGAGGAACCACTGCTGGGAGATGTACCGAAGTCTGTCACTCGACTTTGTTTCAATTAGGCAGGTGAAATCTTGTAGAGCGAAGAATGTCATTTGGTTGTAATCTGCCAGATATGCTATGACCACTCCTTCTATCTAATTTGAATCAATCCCAATACCGCTAGGCCATCTTTCCTCTTAGTCTATTTATTTGGGGCAGCCGGTTCCCCAGCCGTTGAGGGTGTTGCAGCAGTCAGCATCCTAGTATTCAGTCAGTAAGAACTAGTTATTCTCGAATCACCGCTTAAGCTTACGCAAGTAGTAGAAACCATAGCCCCGTTGGGCCCCTTGACATTGGTGCAGTAGTTGGCGGTGTCGGCCTCGCAGAAGTACTATCCTATCCGTTAGCACTGTTTTCCACCATTGACCAAAAGAGGTGTACACACCCGGTTGCTGTTCTGTCGCAAGCAGGACTTGTATCCGTCGTTGCCTCCCCAGCAGCAGTCAGTACGAACAGAGCTTCCGATCGCGCACTGCAGCTTGTTAGCGAGCTCAAATCATCTCATTCCAGCCTGTTGCGGATCACATACGTGAGCAGCCATGACGGTAGAACCAGCGGTGGCAAGAGCAGCCAAGAGAATGTTGGAGAACTGCATTTTGGAAAATGTGTGAAAAAAGTGAAGATGATAGAATCTTGAAGTAGTGAAAGACTGTGAGTGAGACTTGTCGAGTTTGACTGTGTGGTAATGATTGTGAGTGATGAGTTAGAAAGGTAGATGGTGAGAGGAGAGCCAAGTTGATAACTTATATACACGAGGGCATCTCTTCATCGCAAAGAACTAACGTACGCAATCAGCAAAGCTAATCTCCAATATCTGGAAATGAAGACACCAATCATGGCGCTATGGCTGAGCCGGGAGATTCTCTAAAGCCGATACCATGACGGCAAAGACAATGAATGCTTGGCCTCGTTCCATCACAAAAGCATGATAAGTTGGTATCCCAACTTCATCTGAAGATACGACTTGAAGTCTAGAGAAAATTGTCAGGGATATCTAGTCAAGGTACGGTGATGTGCCGAAGCTCTGGGCAGACGGTGGGTCATTCACGAGCCCTGCGACGACTTGTCGAGCCACCAGAAGGCCCGAGTATGGGCTATTAATGAATACGCTTGTTCAATATACCTCGTCCTACCGTTTAAAGTGCAGATCCCGTGAGGTAAATTCAACTCTCATCTACTTACAGTGCTGTGTCATGGCCGGTTTCGGATGCCCAGGCCGGAGTCGAGTCATGGATCCGTGATAACTAAGCGGGGGCCCAATCGCTCGATTGACGTGTCCTAAATAGGCAATTCTAACATTTCCATCATCTCAGCCCCATTACCAGACGAACAAAGTTCTGACTGACTTGGAGATCCAGTTCGTCTTCACTTGTGATTGCACGGTTGGGCATCCCACCTCCTGCCTGCTCGGCATCCCCGCATAGCCGCCTTGGTCTGCACTGTCAATCAACCCAAGACAGACAGGATCGGCTTCTGGGTTTGTCTAGTGAGACTGACTCGGCTTGATCAATTGCCTAGACGCTTACTTGTAAAGGGTTTCTTGCGGAGAATATTGTAAGTCATTATCATCCGTGCAGCCTGTGGGGCGTCTTTCGCCGTTTGATACAGCTCAGCCGCCTTACACCAGCAACTTTCAATCTTATGGCCTACAGACTCTACTTGCCTACTCAATTATGTTGAGTTTGTAGGCTGACTTTGAGACGCGCCGTATTGATTGCAATTAGCGCTTCTTTGATTATCTTGTAAAGTCTGTAGCATTCCTTAGAGACTACCATGAAAGGTCTGTTCTCAAGTCCGAAACCGAACCACACACGTAGTCATTCCATGAGACGGCGATGCCGTCTTCGAGCATCAACGTTAGCATTCCACTTAGTATAAAGTAAGACAGAAATTCCCACACAATCCCAAACTATTCTCATCACCACACTCACACAGTCAACTCACAGTCTCTCACTATCAACACGTTCTCTCAACAATCTCACTTTCACTCACTTCGTTTTCAACTTTACAACTTTCAACCTTTTTCAAATCATCCATCATGCAGTTCTCTAAGATCGCTCTCATCGGCCTTGCCTACACCTCCGGCACTCTCGCCGCCTCTGTGAGTCTCTCATTTCAATTAGACTGTGTCTGATTTCAGCTACTAACGTACGCAATAGTGCCGCATCTACAGTTGGTTGAACGGCGAAGCCGTTCTCGACAACTGCTGCTGGGGTAAGGGCCAGAAGGCTTGCACCAACCAGAACAGAGGCGGCACTGCCCGTGGTACCAGCGCCGCTTACTGCGCTGAGCAGAGCGCCAGCTTCTGCGAGAATGTCATGCTCGGAGGCAACCCGATCACCAAGACTTGCGTAAGCTTTCCTCCTCAAAAGAGTCTTCTCCTATTTGGATTGGTACTCACATTTGAAACCACAGGATGCCGACTGCTGCTCCACTACCACCGGTTGGGGTATTGGCTGCCCCAAATAAGGGCATTCGGATTGGATTCACTGGAGGATACCAGCATACTTTCTTTGTGCTTGGATAGATCAGTGAATAAGACAAGTTGACTCTTACTAAGCCTCAAAATTCCCCTTTTGGTGACATCGTGCCTCTACCGCGACTTTTCCAAATTTCATGTCATACTACCTGGAAGGCAGTGAACACGGAGTATTGCATGATAGAGGAAGCTACTCGTGCCTCGTGGCTGAAGATGGCGGATTACAACATGGGCCCGAGGAACCATTAGTTACACGATATGCGAACGAATACATATAAATCGCCCAGTTGCCTGGCCAAGGCCATAGGACGAGAACTTTGAGAGGAATGCATGAGCAATATCTGAAATGTACATGACCTAGTGGAGGAAGTATTAACGCGTCATTGAGTCCTGCAAAGGTTGCGAGTTCGAAATTGGTGGTCCTACATAATGCCACAGACAGCTCCCTTTTGGCTTTTGTTTCTGGTTAGAACATTTCAGTCACAGTTTTTTATGGTGAACTTCATTGATTTGGAGTCATATCATTAATAATGGGAACTCAGTTCCTACAAATTGTTTCAGCCTGTCATCAGATTATACTAATCATTACTGATTTCTCTATCGTGTACGCGTGGTTGCTTGAGCCAAATCTTTATTTGGCAACAGATTTTAAGCAGATCTTAACGTCTGTGAGACATTTGCCTGATGGCTTTTCACCTTCAAAATTAGGCAAAGGGCCAGTACGCCAGTTCGTACACGTACCCGGTCGCCATCTTCGCGTGCTGCAAGACGTGATCGAACGAGACATACTCCATCGTGTCATTCGGACTGTGGATGTACGGGTTATGGTTGCCGAAAGGGGTCTCGAAGATGAACGACGACGGATAACCATTGCGGTTGGCAGACGCGTGGTCGGAGCAGGCATATCCGCAGACAGTCTCCTCGTAGGGGATATCGGTGTACTAATGAAGAGGACATGTTTTAGCACCGGCGCATCTCCAAATAAAGTTTAACCACGAAATCAGGCTAGATAATAATTAGTAACTCACAGTGTCAATGACGCGCTTCATGAACGCAACCTGGTCGAGGTCCACCCAGTCCGTGACAACGCCGAACCTCTCGACGCCGTCACGGCCAACGTAGCCGACCATATCTTGCTGCAGCATAGACACAACCTGGCGGCTAGAAGCACGGTACTGGGTAAAGATGTCCTGGCTTCCGAGCAGACCAGCCTCTTCGGCGCCGTACCAGTGGAACTCTAGAGTGTTCAGGATATCACCGGACGCGATCTTCGGGTCGGAGAGCAGGACACGGAGGACCTCAAGAATCATGACGGAGCCGGAGCCATTGTCATCTAGTATAGCGGCATCATCAGTCTCTTTCTCTTCATCAATAAAGGAGTGATCAGCGGCGGAACTCACCAGCACCAGGCGCACGACCAGCGCCACGATCTCCAGAAATGACTGAATCAAGATGCCCACCCAACACAACAGTCCGTTGATTGCGTCCTGGAATCGTAACAATAATACTAGGCTGCGACCACGCGGTATGACGCACATAGCGGATGTTGGCCGTGGGGTGTCCCGCGACATCCAGGACGGCGCTGATTTGACCATACAGCCACTCCGCAGACTCAACGCCCGTCTTGGAGAGGTAATACCGATTGTGGAAGGACGAGAAGCGCTCGAGGTGTGCGCGCATGTTGTTCTTGTTCAGCTTCGGGATTAGGGCATTGACGTGGCACGTCTGGTTCATCTCCGTTGGGAAGGGCAGGGCCGCCAGGAGCTTGAAGTCTGCGGAGGCGGCGACGGCGGGGACATCTGACCATTCTGTGATGTCGAAGAAGTGGACACGTTTCTGGACGTGTTAGCTGCGCTCGCGGGCGTGAGGAATAGAGGTAACGTACATCCATCATCTCCCATTTCTCCTCCTCTGTGACGGTGACTGTCTGGCCTGGGGCAATTTCCAGCGTGAAGAGCTTGTTTGGATCGCGGGGCTCGACAAATGAGCCGACGGCCGAGGAGGCCGCGAAGGCCGCGAGGAGAGGAGTGAAGCGCATGATGACAGCGAGTCTCCGCAGTTAGTGACGATGAAAGACTGAATGAACTCCCACTGACATGGGTCATATTAGGTCGCCTGGGCCCTTATATACTCGTCACATCTCCCGGACGGCGGGTCGATGCATCAATGGGATGCTCCAGCTAGTCCCCTCACCAAGCGGCATATTACAGGGATATCACGACTGCTGACGTCCGTAATACTTGTAGCCTGGCAGAAGAGTAACTTTGGTTGAGGGGTAGTTGTATCTCAAGCGCAAACCGGGGCAATGGACCCAAGAGCGGCGCAACTCAATCTCATGTATGCCGAGAACTACAAAGGGAAGTTGGGAATTTGGGAAAGCTTAGCTCGCACGTTGGCGGTGAGTTGAGCGCCCTAAGTGCCAAAGGGAATCTGACTTTGCGAACTTTTGAGTTGGTAGGGCGTAAAAAGTCCCTCGGACCATATATGAAGGTAGATCTGCAGCTCTGTAGAGCCATTGACCAATAACCGCGACGGTAACTATCCAAGACCAACGTCTGTGCTGACAAGGCGTGGGGATGTTCGCTTGGCTGTCACCTCGTCCGAACTTCCAAGACGGTGTCAGGTTTTCTCCATTATCTCTGTCGCGGCTTATGCAGGTCGAGACTTGTTGCGTTGTTTCCTCGTCAGGCGTGGTTGATGTAAACCCGAGAGTTCCGACGGAGAGAGAGATAATATCTTGGAAAATGTAGAAACATTATTTGAGTGTCATCTCGAATGCGCCGAGTTGATGATGCGCCAAGAGTATCTCTATTCGGAAGGTGACTTTTAGCCAAGACGTTGCGCGGGGGCTTGCAACTGAGGGGTTGGAAACCAAAATCAGCCAGGCTTTGTCTGACTTGCGGAAACAAACATCCTAGCATGCCAAGTGTCGCGTAGAATGACCATGGGAAATCAAAACTCCGTGCGCGATCCGCGGGGATGGGGAGCTTCTGCGATTTGATGATGCTTGAGGATCGTGTGGATGAGTATGTGAGGTAGGGACCTCGATGACAATATCAACTCGTCCTTTCGAACCCCAAGATGGTTGATAATATCAGAGTCACCGCTTCGTAACA